TTGAGTTGATACTGGCCCAGGAGGCAGAAGATGGTTTCGAGGTCTTGAACATGCTGCTCTTCGTCTTACGAATGTATCAGGAGATCGTCCACGCAGACGAAGACGCACTTACATTCCCTGAAGATGGGGTCCATGTTTTTTCTGGAAGGTGTCTCCGGCGCTGGGAAGTCCCATCGGCATGCACACGTATTCGAACGAGCCGAAGGGTGTGGTGACGGTGGCTTTAGCGAGGTCATCGGGGTTCATAGGCACTTGGTGATAAGCACGGAGGAGGTTGATTTTGGAGAATACTTTCTTTCCATGGAGGTGTGCGCTTAGGTCCTGGATGTGTGGAATCGGACAGCGATCGGGTTCGGTGTTGGAGTTTAGGGCCGATGATTTCCGGTTACTCTCCATTCTCCTGGTGTTGATTTCGGCACCATGTGTAATGGCGAGGCCTCGGGCGAGTCAGGTGGACGAATGATTCCCCGTCGAGCAGTCTTGAATGCTCCTTTTGCGGCGTCGAGTGTGTCGGGCGGTAGTCTCCTCCGGCTTGCGAGGGTTGGTGGCGCGCTGCCGGTGTCGATGTGATGCGACGTCGCGATGGCAGACGCATTCGGCTCCGGCTCCTCGCTCGGTTGGCATGGCTTTAGGACGGAGGCAGACTCGGCGAGCAGCAACCAAACAGATGGATGTTGTTGAGATAGGTCGTTCACGAGGCACGCCGTTTGGGAAGGTACCGGAGTACCTATGGCTGACAGTGAGGTAGCTGAGTCGATGAGGGACCGCTGGCACAGTTGACGAGGATTGTGTAGTGGGAAAGAAAATCACTTCTAAGTAGGGAGGAGGTTACGTCAGCAATGACGAAAGTCCAGCGGAACTCGCGTCGGAGGCTGGGCATCTGGAAAGATAAGGTTATCTCACCGTGGGTAGCAATGCGCTCGTTATCCTGCGCTCGACAGGCTGATCGCGGTAGGGTTGATGTGATGACCGGAGAGTTGTCATCCCGGGATGAGCGGGATGGATGCGCTGGTGTCAACGATGAAGTCGATATCAGCTTTGCCGACTTGAGCTGCGACTTTGATGAGTGGCAGGTCAGATGTCGCCGATCCAGCCTGCTCCCCTAGTTTTCCGATCGTGCAGGAGCGGGGAAACTAAATCGCGAAGCAGGTCTGGAGCCGGATTCCGTCCGAACACTAGGTGATTTGTTGGGCCACTGGCACCATGGCCAACATGTTCTTGTCGATGGTCCGAAGTAGATGTGCGCTCTGCATACCTTTGGTCTTTGCCCTTCGTTGAATGGTTGTATCCCCTTGGTGCTTCTCTGTTTGATGTCTTTGAGCGAGGTGGAGCTGGCCCTGGTGGCGGGGGAGCTCGGTGTTCAGCTTGGACCATGTAGACGCCGGACTTCCTCATGAAGGGCAGGAGTTCGCCAGCGAATCGGTCGAGCTGTGGCAGGGGAAGATCTTGGGTACCTAATATGGCAGCTGTGGAAGAGTCCACACACTGTAAGAACGTCGCTTACGCCAACTTTACGTGCTATGTCGTGAAGCTCGGCCAAGAAGAGAGATGGTTTTCCGGTGACATTTGAACATGCTTCGCAGATCAGGCGTTGAAAAAGGTAGGTTTATTTCGCTCGAAGAGGTTACTGACAGCGTCTTCCAATGTATGGAAGTCTTCGTTGCTGATAAAACTTGCGCCTAATTTGCAAACGGTTTGTGGAGGGAGTGCTGCTAGGGCGTGACAACAGAAAATCGTCTTGTTCTGGGTGATCCGGCTGAGGTTGAACTGGGTGTTGAGGATGGCGCACCAGCCAGGCAGCACGGCCTCCAAGAAGGCTGAAGCCTTCAGATGTTGCACACGTTCTACTTGGTGCTCGGTCTTCTCTTGGTGTTCACTTGTCATCTTGATCCTGTCTGTCTTTTCTTGTTGGAAAAATATGATGATGTACCAGGCCCGATCACGTCGGGGTCACCAGTTGTGATCGTGCGCCCACGCGCTACCACTTTATTAATTTGACTCGGTACAAATCGTGCGGATTTTCCGAAAGACCTTTCGCCTTGCTGTATATTTCGATGCAGACAAGCGGAGCCAAAGTTCACTGGGGTCACCGTGGCGGCTTTTGGGAGAACACTGGTCCAGTTAACATGACGGCTTTCAGCAGGAGACTGGCACGGTTCACATGGCGGCTTTAGAGAGAAGACTGGCCCAGCGCACAGAGCCGGGCGTGGTCAGAAGCGGGGTTGTTTTGCTGGTGTGCGGTTACATGGCACTACATATGATTTGTTGATGTGCGTTAGCAAAGCTGTACACATGATGCTGACGATGCAGGCGTCAGCATCATGCCGGCGTCAGCCGGCGGCCCTCTCGGCCGGGTCGGCTGACTAAGCGTCGACGGATGGCACCACAGACCCACAGCACCGCTCGCCACGAAACTTCCCCCCCCCCCCCCCTCCTCCTCCTGGCCAGCAGCAGGCCGACTCCATGGGGGGAGGGAGAGGGGGTTAGCGAGACGTCCTGCCCGAGGCCGGCACCTGAGCGGGCAGCGGCGGCGGCGGCGGTCACTTCACACGCGGCGTCAATAGCGCAGCGCGGCGCGTGCCTGCATCGATTGGCGGCGCCGCCGCCGCTGGCGGCAGCGGCCGGGACACCGCCGCCGTCGGTCCGCGCCGCAGCGGCCGCCGACGGGTACGGCCGGCCGGCGGGACGGCGGCGAGTGCACGGCCGGCGGCCACGGCGGCGGTCCGCCAGCAACCGGCCCGCCACCGTCCGCGATCGACCCGCAACGGTGAGCGCGAGCCGCGTCCGACCGACGGCTGCGGGTGGCCAGGGTGCGGTCGCGTGGAGGCTGACGAGTTCGTGTGCGGCCGCGAGGCATCCAACAGGGACGCGAGGGTGCCGAAGGCGGCGCAACAACACGCGACCCGTCGGCCCGAGTGAGCAACTTACAGCCGTGCGCGTCCGACCGCCGACGAGGTGAGCGCACCACAGACAGTTGGCTGTGAGCGCGCGACCAGTAGTGGCGGGAGTACCACCGACAACCGTGAGTACGTTACCGGCGGCCGCGGCTGTCCAGGGGCCGTCCGGCGCCTCACCGTGTGGCCGCGTCGGCTGCGAGGGCGCGCTCGACCGGCTGCCGCTGACCGCGTGTCTCGCCGCCCCACCGCGTCTCGCCGCCCTACCACGTCACGCACGCCCACCACAGCTGCCCGTCCACGCGGCGCGGCGGCGCCGGCGGCGGCGGCGGCGGCGGCGGCCGGAGAAGCCACGCACGTGGCGACACGCGAGACGCCGGCGGGGCGCCGCAGCACGGTCGATCGGCGGCCTCTGTCGACCGTTACTGCCGTCGCGTCCTTCATCCCGCCCCCGCGGCGCCAGCCCGGCCGTTTCGCGCGCGCACGGCGGCAGGGCCGTCGGCCTGGCGCGGAGCGGTGGCGGCGGCGCTGGCGCGGGCGCTGCAGGCGGGTCGCGACCACTTGAACCACCGAACCTTTGAACAGCGAGGTGGTGCGTTGGGCGCGTCGGACGACACCACGCCTCTGACCTTTGACCCTGAGCCCGTCATTCCCACTCTGGTGGCAACCTGGCCTATCGTCCACTTGTTGACGTCAATATCAGGTCGGTCTGGTCGGGAAGGCTCATTTCGATGGTTTCGTTTCCCTTCGCCACACGCCAGACGGAATAATTATCAGTTTGCACACCCCAAAGAACACTCCCTGCCTCAGTCAGCAATCAGTCAGCAATCAGCAAGAGTCCCAAACAGCCATGTAAACTGGAAGGTCATCCTTTCAGCTGATGCATTTCAGACTAGAATCCGCTGCAGTTCCGGCCAGAGACCCCACCGCAGACAATAGCTGTCAGGGATACGTGGCTCCTACAGCGCCTCTTTTCCTGCGACGCCATTTGTTTGACATTAACTTCCACTCAGAATGACAGAAACGTTGCCAGTTCTTGCCCCCGTGAGAGACAGTTCTTAATCTAACATCACTTGAAGTCAGCGCATCATTCCTCTGCTGTCTGGCGTTCGGTGGAAGACAACAAACCGGTCCGGTCCAGCCTTCCCACACCTGACACCCACGCGTGCCACCTCGCCGCGCTGTATCCGCCGGCGTTCCACGACACGAACACAGCATCCCCCGCCACCCCCCGATGCGGCGGGACGTCCGCGCTGCTAACGCACGCTGCCGCCTGCTGCAGGAGCGATGCGGTAGAGCCGGGCCGGCTACAGCGAGCGGGCGGCACCAGGGCATGGCCGGCCGGGGAGTGCGGCGGCCGGGCGGCGCCGCCTGCGCCATCACCGCCGGTACGTACCCCACACGACGGTATGGTGCCCGGCGGCAGACGCGGCATGTCCGCGGCACATTGCAGGCGTACGTGCCGACCCTCTCCCTCCCCCCGATCCCCCGTTCCCGACCCCCTCCCCATTATTCCCTGTCAACGGGTCCGAACCGAAGCGCGGGACACGTGCAGGGAAAATTGATTCTAAAAACGATTGCGCGCGTCTGTCCCCAATGGAGATCTGAGGTGGACAAAACAGGACCGTCAATGTCGTAAACCTGAATAATACTGTTCGTCAATCAATGTCCTTTCAATTTGTGCGCTTGGAACTGAACACATGTATGACCAACAAATAACTCGACATAGATACGAAAATGCATGCCAAGCCTCAATAAATCCAAGAACGTAAGCATCCTGACAAACATTTCCAACTCAATGCCCTGCTCCCCTGGTCGTGCTGCCATGTAAAGCAGACCGGGGGCCAGCCATTCGCCAGATCATGATCATAAAGCAGCCGGCTCCCGAGCCAGCGTGGGCGATGCGGAGGCTGGTCACAGGCGGCCCTAGCGCCCCGACCCATTGGCCCGGCCGCATGATTCAGCCGGACATGACGCCTGTGTAAGGGCAGCAGGTCATTCCAGTCGCTTCAATCGAACCAACATGCCCCAGTAGTATGGCGTAGTATCGTGTCTCGCATGAGCGACGATGTTGCTGCCAGACACCATACTACCACTGCCACTGACTTATAGGCGCCTCGGACGGTGACTGGAAGAGGCGCCGTCCCGGCATCTGCTCCGCATTTCTGGTGCTCCTGGCATGCCTCGCACGAACACGTCTGAAAGGGAGACAGCGGGCGTATATTAGCGTTAATCCTACACATACCAAGGCAAATTACCGCGCGGAATGTATGCGCACATGGAATCTCGGGCATGGCACCTTATGACCGGAGAAGGGTCTGGAAGGAACGATAGTTGTTATCAGTCGTCCAGGCTGACCGGTCAATGTGGGATTTGGGTTGGGCATGTTATGATAGCACTGCAAGAAAACTACTAGCTCCAATACTTGTGCAATACTCATCGCTTCTCACAGTAAATAAGAATGCTTGCGCAGACCGCACGCTGTGGAAGTAATATCACGAAGAAATCTGGTGCAGGCGGTGTGACCCAGCGCCTTCAACCAGCGAAATTCTCCACCAAACCTTGCTCGGGCAAATCAGAATGCAAGGACACCTCTGACGCCCACCGTATCAACAGCAAACATCCGTTCATCTGGCTCGATCCGGCCGGCTGGCCGCCAGCACGGGCGACAGGACACCACGACCCAGCCCCCTCTCCGCAGCGGCGCCCAGGCCGTGTCTCCCATTTCCACAGGACGTCATCCGATGACGGACTATTGGCGTCGCGGCGGCGGTGATCAATGTCGTGCCGTGTCGGCGGCCGCAGCCTCTGGGGCGGCGGCGAGAGCGCTCGCTCCGGCAGACGTGTCCTGCAGTCTGCAGACGGCCGCGGGAGAGGGCCCGGCCGCGTCACGAGAACACGGCCGCAGCCTCTGGGGCGGCGGCGAGAGCGCTCGCTCCGGCAGACGTGTCCTGCAGTCTGCAGACGGCCGCGTCACGGGAACGCGGCGGCGCTGCGCGCGGCGACTCACAGCGCTGGGGCCAACCAGCTGAGCTTTAGCGACGGGTGGAGTGGTGGCGTCTCCTCGGCACAGACAGCGGGTTCTGCGACGGCCGGCCGCCAGCTGGGAGTCGCTCGACCCACGCGCAATTACAAGTGACCGCGGGGAGGACTGCAGGACCTCCTCACCCTGCAGTCTTCCGAAGGGAGATGGCAGGTAATTATAGCGCAGAGTCCCCGCCGCCGCCTTCGGGCTCATCAGCGGGCACGGCCTCACTCCTCAAAAGCCGGTGGGCGAGAGGCGCCGCGCCGTGGCGGTCGTCGAGGCCCAACCTTCCGCGAACGAGACCAGTCACTGTCGTCCGCCGCACGGCAGCCGGCCCGAGCGTGAGCGTCGCACCGGGTCCCCGCTGGGCGGAGCGGAGTCCGGTGCCGCTGGCCGGGAGTCCGCTCCCGGGAGCGCGCTCCATGCCGCGGGCTCCGGTCCGGCCGGTACTCGAATCGATGCGCGGGCGTGTGGACGGCGCGCGCCAGCGGTCGGCCAACTGGCCAGGCGGACGTCGCGGCCCCGGCCACACGTCCCCTGGCCGAGTCCGGCCTCGTTCCCTGGCATTGGCTTGGAGAGATATTTTACGAGGCAGGGCAAGACGTGCCCCTCTGTTTCGGGGTGCACGACCCATTTTTCCGGCCTCAAGGTCATTTAGTCTCGACTGCCTGCACATGGCCTTCTCCGTGCTTCGTTCAGGCAGACATTGAAGTTTCTTCCGCAAGGAGGTGCTACTACAAAGCTACTCTTTTGAAATCTAGATTGTGCAGTGAAATGCGACTTAAATGTACGTATGGGATAACCTGCATATAATTATACAAAACGAACTGATTAAATATTAGATTGCAAGTCCGCACTGCAAACAACTAGGCCACACGTGAAAACTGATAGGCGATTACCTCGCATTGTATTCTAAAAAAAATTTCAATCTTTTCCCATGTCCCGATCTGAAAGGATCTCCTAGGTGCTTGCATGACTGCGTCAGGTCACGCTGAGGATTTCCAAAGCTGCAGCACACAAAGCAATATTCCACACATGCCCCAAGCCTTTCAGCTGCTAACATAACATAATTAAAACGGCATCCAGATGGCAAATAAATAAAGTGGACAAACAACAAATGCTTTATAGTTGCAGGTGAATGAGACTCTAAGGACAAGACAACCAAATATTACTGACAAAGGCACCACATCACAGATACAGAGGGATCACATCACCTTTCCCAGAGTACAGAGGGATCACACCATCTTTCCCAGAGTACAGAGGGATCACCTCACCTTTCCCTGAGGACAGAGGGATCACATCGCCTTTCCCAGAGTACAGAGGGATCATATCACCTTTCCCATAGCAAAAAAAAAAATATTTGCATCAGGTCACTTCAAGAAAAGATCCCAGTCTGGTCCACCAGGCATTCAGTGCTACACAGCTGATTGAGATACAGCCAAATTTGCCACAACAATGGCATCAAGCCAGTGCTCATCCCCTGCCAAGCTAGTACCCATATGTGATGATACCCTGGTCTCAACCATTTAGCCACTTCAGGGCATCCCAGTGGTATGGTGGCTAGCAACTCTGCATAATTTGGCGCACTTAGACGACATGGTGATTGTGAAATGGGATGTGGATCACAGTTTAAGACTATTTGTGAGAGCATAGGCCCAAAAACCAAGGTTTAATTAAACTGCATTGCTCAAAGAGAACTTTCTACAAGTGTCCATTAATGCTAATATTCTGGCTTCTTGAATGTGTTTCATTACACTTTCTTGGAATTAGTGGAAAACCTGTATGTAAAGATTCAGCCTTCAAACCCAATAAACCAAAAGAACTATGCTCAATTTGTGCACTTTGTCTCTGCCCAGTGTGTGCCATATTAATGTTACATTAACACATGCCAAACCTTGCATCATGATTTGTGTACAGAGAAAACACCTTGCAAGAGAGTGAAATGGAGAATGAGTGTGAGGAGTGTATCACAATATGTATGCCTTCCACACATGTTACTGGATAGTCAGATTAACACTTCACCTATATCTGGAAGGCTCAAATGTACAATGGAAGAATGTCTAGTAATAAATAACAAGTGCACAATCAGTCTTCATTTAAAGGCAAATTTTGCATCACAGCTTAAACCAAAAAAACAGTGTTTCAGCTGCTGAGCCTGCAAGAACAACATTTCTGACATCTGCAAAGTGTCATTTTCCATGCCAGCAGTAAAACTGATTGCTTACAGATAAACCAGACATAGTATTGGTATAGTACTATGATTTATACATCAGTGTACACTGTGACACAACATGCATAAGGATAGCACCTACTTGTCTGAACTTCTATTTAAATAGTCTGCTAGAAGCATATTTTTAAAGTTCATTCCTGGCTTTTATTTTTAGTGCTAAGATTTTGCAATTGAGGATCAATATAAGACAATATTTAAATTGCATGAATCTAACAATATTTCACAATATTTAAGTTAATAACAATATTTCATTAACTTTACATCACACACACGGAATGGCTCAAAACAGCATGGCATGGCTCAAATCACTTCCTATTCCAACTATAACAGACCTCTGGTTACATTCCATGGTTAATTCTGATAGGAGTCCCTTTAAGTGGAACCACTTTTGCACACCTGTCATATCAGCTTCGTAAAACCCCAGATATGACATGTAGTTTAGTAACAGAGTAGCTATATGCCTGCATTCTTTTTACTGTTCATATCAATAGTGATAATCTTTAGCTGAATTGACAAACTGAAGATCAAGATGAATTAATTCTGATCTCATTGCCCAAGCCTGCATAAAATTAATCCACCATGCACAACATGCAGGTCAGCTGAACCTGGCATATCAATGTACCAAAATCAGGCCACACCAAATGGAACTGATCTTTCAAATTTCTGATTGAAAACACTTTTTGAGGCTGTTTTTACTTATAATTCCTTTAGAAACATCATGATACCTGGAAAAATTGGTTCTCTAAGCACAAAAAAAATGGTGGTGACCACACAGAGCTTGAGGCATCATATTTAAGGCCAGCATGTACCAAAATTGACCGCCTACATGACTGCAGCCCACGACCATGAAATGGTGGATAGATAATATTACTGACAGTAGAGGCATATGCATAGTTTCACAATAGGAGGGGGGACAATAACTCAGATGCTTTTTGCGAAACCAGGTTTAATTTAACACAGGTGTGCATGATTATCTCACAAGGCCTAACAGCGCAGCAAGTTTTCAGATAGCCGGGTGCAACATTTACCTTGAATTTTCCACTGTCAAAGTGTAGTTATGAATATATGAAATCATGCCACACATTCCCTAAGGAGTGGGGCACCTCCCCTATGGTCAACTATGTGAATGTACCACTACCACACACCTGTTTCTCTTAAGATGGTGTCTGACTCCCTGTTCACTCTAGGTCAATATATTATCCTGTTGATCGTAGACACACCCAACAAAGTTACACCGATACATAGCATAGCAAGCCCCGCTTAGCCATTCAGTGGCACGTCCAGTCAGACTTAACTGGACTGGCTTACCGACTGTGTTTTCGCAAACCTTCGTTACGCGCATAACATCACCTACAGCAATGTATTAAATACGCCAGTTATGTCACAGTGTACGCCTACGCATTTCATAATTTACTGTCCAAGTTCGCAAACCTAAGCATATCCCGGTCGTGAGTTGTTACTTGTCAGACGCGGCTTAGTGTTGTCGCAATAAAATGCAAGCCTGGTTTACTGGGAACGAAAAAATTGTGTGGATCTTAATGGAGCGTCAACTACTTCCTCATAATGTTGCACCGTTTCAAGGGTTTCTTGGTCCGTTGTCATCGATGGCTTCTGTTAGGCAGTTTTCGTCATTGTTCAGTCCTATTTCTCAAGGTTACAGACCGTCACGCAGGGTGAATTCAACATTCCCTCTGGTTACGCTGTTTTAAGCGTAACGTCCCAAAAGCGATGTCCGTTTGGTCCCTAATTAAGCTAGATACGAGAAACAAAAATGGGCGTGCAGCTTGTTATGAGGGGAAACGGTCTAGAGGTAATGCGGTCTTAAGGTTTTAGAAGACAAAATTAAGCTGATTTAAACGCAACGCTGGATCAGACCCCTTCCCCCTCCCCTTGTCAAGTTTCGGTTGTGTTCTATTAAAACTGTTCTTTTTCATAGCACTGTTCTGTGATTGGAGAAGCTTGCTTTTTGGGCCAAATAATCATTACCTTTAGGATAAGCCCAATGTCTGAGGGCTAACGGAACCAACCGGAACCGGAACCCCAAGTCTCGAACAATATTAGTTCTAAGCGCATGGCGCCACATGCAAAGAACCGAAATAAAAATCATGCTTGGCACATCCTATCTCATATCTTTGGAGGACTCAACGGAACCGTTTTAATATCGTCTCAACGGGAGGTCAGTACGCTAGGTTAATGATAATGAGACCACCAGCCGTCGTTAAGGCATTTCTCGCACTAAAAGAATGCAAACATGCGGTCTTATCCTACGAATATGTAGCATAGACTGCGCATATGTTATCACCAGGGGCGCACGCACACAGCAGCTCCTGAAGGCACGTGGCAATAAAAACGCCGCTTATAATAATAATTAAACTATCATAATTAGTAAATGATAAAAGTTTTATCTGTATGCTCGTATATATAACTGAATAATATATATATATATATATATATATATATATATATATATGTATGTATGTATGTATGTATGTATATATATATATATATATATATATATATATATATATATATATATATATATATGTGTGGGGGGGTGTGGGGGGGTGACAGAAGAGGGTCGTAAAAAGATAGGCGGAAGGGGAGAAAATATCGTATATAATACAGCTGAGTCGTCGCATAGACACGCAAGCATAAGCAGTTGCATGGGTTGGCGAAGACCTGATGGGAGTCGAGGCCGGGCGACTTCTGTCGCCGCTTGTCAAAAAAAGTTTCCAGAAACCTGCCCCATAGACCCAATTTGTGGGTTAGATTAACTACATGTTGATCAATTTAAAATCAATCAGTTGTATGTTGGTGAAAAACTTAACTGGCCAGCCGGCCAATCCAAATAGCACGGGTCAAAGTATCTGCATACATTTTTTCTTAAGAAGAAGGCAGTTCATTTACCATTGAAAATATTATGCTGGTCTCGCCATTTTACTGCACCAAATAGGCAGCTGAAACTGAAAATGCAATGCCTTTGGATATAATACCGGAAGTAGGGGAGCGCTGTTGCCGCTGAGGCAGCCCTCTTGACCGCAGCGGTGGGACCGGATGGTATAACAGCGCTAACTGGAGGGAGCCTGGCTCATGTTCCATCAAAAGTCCCTATACAGGTTTCTCAGCTATCTGATTAGAATGATATCCGTTTTGTGCACATCTGGGCAATATTATACCGCCCATTGACGTAGGTGGTGCCGACACAAGACAAGCAACTGCCGTCGCATCACGACCACATCGGGGTTGCTTAGTCACCCCACGCCAACACGGGATCAATAGCTGACGCGACGAAAACCCGCGCGCTGATCGCCGCCGTCTCCAACCAGCCTCATGCCGGATGACGGCAGATGCTGCAGACGGCGGCAGTAGCTCCCCTCGGACACACTGAAGACGCCAGTTGGTCCCAGCCGACCCGGCATGACCCGGTGGTGCGGGGGGGGGGAGGGCACAAGTGTTCGGTGGCGGTGTCGACAGGGCCGACTGACCGGCGACTGGCCGGGTCACAGGTGTGGAGTGACGGACAGCTGGCAGCGGCCGACCGGCGGGCCGGACCGGGGTTAGCTGCCTGAGAAGGGACCAACTGCTGCAGGACAGGTCGGCCGACACTCCGGCCCGGGGTCGGCTGCTTTGAGGGGAGAGGCCCTCTCGCTGCTGTAGGACAGTCGGCCGACACTCCGGCCCGGCAAGACAGCGTCAGTGTCATCGTACATTCACGTGTGTTGATATATGTCAGATGTGAGCTGTTTCACGTTCCCACCACTCCTACCTGACAGTTGGCTTATGAATAACTGACGCCCAGCAGTCAGTGTTGGTATGACTAAACTTTACTCGTAAAGCCGCTCGCCCTCATTTATCCGAACGGCTTTGCTGGAATTGAATTGCCATGTTAAATCAAACAGCCAGAGCTCCTGCAGCACCCGAGAGCCCACGCGACCTTAGTTTTCGGTGCCGCTCCGCCGACTTGACCGGAAGCGTCAGACCCGCGATGGTGCAGAGACGCGGACGAGCGCTGATGCCGACCACTCCTCAGCTTCAAACAAAATAGCATACATAGCTCATGCTCCGTACCGCGCACTTGAGAAACCAGGGGTACAGGGTTCGACTCGCGGCAGTGTCCTCCCTTCCTGCCAGGGTGGGAGGGTGGCGACACCTACAGCCTCAGTAGCTAAGTGCGTCGATAAGTCCCAATTACCACAACAGAGCTAACACGCATATTGTGAAGTGATGTTTATGTAATATGGGCCGAAACATGCTCCATGGCGTTCGTGTGACGGGAGTCCATGTGCCAGCAAAAACATTCTGAATTGGCCGCGGCGCTACCGCGCACAGAAACAAACTTGATTTGAACAAGCCGAAACAAGCCAGCTGTCAAACAAATGTCAGTTGGGATATTAGCTGTTCTAGAACAAAGGGCGCACAGGTGGGGTAGCTGCTCTCACTAATGGCGACAGACTGGGCGCGATTCATAAATAAATCACTGTAGATAAGCTTGAGCATTTTGCGTGTGCAAGGCAAAAGGCAATGGAAACTATATTATAATTCGCATAACTGTACCCATTATAGTGTAAAGTATACTGTTCCAAGGCTGCACGCTACACCAACGCAACCTACATTGTGATGCACGAACGAACTGACTTGAAGTGGGGTCTTGATGCGCCGTCGCCACGGGACGGGCTCGGGTGGTCTTGGTCTTGACACAAAGGAACACAAAGGCGTATGTCCGCCACGCCAGTGGGCGCCAGGGAGCCAGACTTACGCCATAGCGTGAGCAGCTTGAAAGGTAGCGCGGGTGTCTCGTAACGCATACAGTCCAATCACAACACAACACACACTCGAGCCTTGGCACACGTGTTCCGTGCACACGCACTGCGATCACTTGTCGAAGGCTACAGGTATAAAAAGTACAGTAGCTGAGCAGCATCAGCAGAAGATCGACCCTGTCCCGCACCGTCTGTCATGGTCCCTCGCGTTCCTCCTCCATCAGCATCAACGGCGCGCCGGCGTCCGCTGATGCCGTGCTGCTGTCGCCTGCCCACTGCCGCCCCTGGCCCGGGGGACTGCTGTCGCCTGCCCACTGCCGCCCCTGCCCCGGGGGACTGCTGTCGCCTGCCCGCTGCCGCCCCTGGCCCGGGGGACTGCTGTCGCCTGCCCACTGCCGCCCCTGCCCCGGGGGACTGCTGTCGCCTGCCCACTGCCGCCCCTGGCCCGGGGGACTGCTGTCGCCTGCCCACTGCCGCCCCTGCCCGGGGGACTGCTGTCGCCTGCCCACTGCCGCCCCTGGCCGGGGGACTGCTGTCGCCTGCCCACTGCCGCCCCTGGCCCGGGGGACTGCTGTCGCCTGCCCACTGCCGCCCCTGGCCCGGGGGACTGCTGTCGCCTGCCCACTGCCGCCCCTGGCCCGGGGGACTGCTGTCGCCTGCCCGCTGCCGCCCCTGGCCCGGGGGACTGCTGTCGCCTGCCCACTGCCGCCCCTGCCCCGGGGGACTGCTGTCGCCTGCCCGCTGCCGCCCCTGGCCCGGGGCGTGCCATTACAACCACAGCGGGCCCTTGTCGGGTAACGTAGTGCTGTCACTGTAAACACTGCGGCTGATGGCTTCAGTATAAGGTAGACCTGTATCTGTACCCTCAGCAAGCTGATCACTATAAATGATACTTCGCGATGGCTGATCTTGATATGTGACCTAACGTTGCATTTAGCTTTTCTCTACGTTAGAAGGAAGCGAGACTAGGTCATGTGCGGAGCGACGTACCAGTGTTAAATGTCAAACGGAAGGAAGCGACATAAGGTCATGTGCGGAGCGACGTACCAGTGTTAAATGTCAAGCGGAAGGAAGCGACATAAGGTCATGTGCGGGGCGACGTACCAGCGTTAAATGTCAAGCGGAACGACGTACCAGCGTTAAATGTCAAGCGGAGCGACGTACCAGTGTTAAATGTCAAGCGGAAGGACAAGGTGCCTGAAGAGGAAAGTATGGATGTATTCACTGCTGGACACGGAAGCTCTCTTGCAAACGCGCAGTAGATAGAAAACATAGGTTATGTACCAATAGTGAGTTAACGTGATTTAACATCCGTAAGGAACCGAGTACTTTGCTTGGATGATCATCTGTCTTTGGTGCAAGAATCTGTCTGTTCTGTACGCCGCAGCACCACACGAGCATTTTGGAATGTTGCACAGCCCACTGAGGACGAGGTCCCAGCGGGAGCTGTTGCCGCCACTGCTACACGGGAGCCGTGTAGCAGCGATGGCCTCGGTCGTCGTGACCGGCCGTTTGTCGTGCGGCGGCTCCGACCCGGCCCATCCAGATAAAGCGGAGGCTGTTATTGCCACTGCGCTGACAGCGTAAGGGATGGCATTTGAGATCAAAGTGGAGCTCTGCAAGAGAGAGGATGTTGTACGCGTCCCAGGCCAGGCTGCGGTCAGTGGAGCAGGTCACTGGCAGTCCTGTCTGCACAAGGCATACTGCGCAGTGGCGAGGCAGTTTGTATGCTGGCGGTGCCGGTCGTGTCTGCGGCAACGGAAAACGCCCAACAGCTCCGACTAGCAGACCTCGCCTACCAATTTGACGTACAGGAGCGCTGCTGAATGCTGGGGCCGCTCTGCGACGCACTCGCGGTTGAAGCGGCGGGCATGCTCCGGTCGGCCCCGGCCTCGACCGCACCGAACGGCATATGTCGACCCGGCGCTGCCACGTCTAAATCAGGGCTGCGCGCGCAGCCGCCGGCCGCGCCAGCCAGCGGGCACGCGTCGGTGGAGCTTGGCGCGCCGACCGTGGGGCCTGTGTCGGCGCCAGCCGGCTCAGTCGCGGGAGAGAGGGCTGAGAGGTCCGCGCGCGGGCACGGGCGACGCGGCGGGCCCGCGCGGATCGGAGAGGCGGCGCGAGTGCGGAGCCGGAGCGTCGAGGCGAGCGTGACGTCGCGCCGCTGGCGTCCGGAGCCGGTGAGGTCACGGACTGGCGTCCGGAGGTGGGCCTCCCCGGCGAGACCGGACGGCTGAGCGCCGCTGCCCGACGGACGGACGACTCCGCTGGTGACGGCAGTGTGAGGGAGCAGCTCTCGTCCGGACGCGATCACAGCCGGCTCGGATCTCCCACCGCTCCGAGCTGGCACTCGGCTCACGCCACCCGACGCAGGGCGACCTCGTGGTCTGAGCCTGCTCAGCGCGACCTCGTGGCCTGAGCCCGCCTCTCGGTGTCTGGACCCAGGCAGAGCCGGCCGCACCGGAGCCGGAAGCTGCGGGCCCGGCTGAGGATGCGCCCCAGCGCCTCGAGCCGGGCACTCTCTGGAGCCGACCGCCGCCGCTGAGCAGGCTGCAGGTCGGCCGCCGGGGTCGGCGACAGCCCCGATGTCGCACGGCACAGCGACGCCCCTCCTGCTGGCAGGTGATGGCTCTGCTGGACCCGGCAATGTGGGGCAACGTCTTGGTGACGGGTCAGCGGCAATGAACACTAACTTGTGGACTTTGGTCACCAGAAATATTGAAGGATAAAGGATAGATTTCATAATTATGCCCAATTTGAATTGGTGACAAAATGAAGTTTGTCTCTAATTGGTTGCGACATATCGGGCAAAATTTATTGGCACGAATGTGCGTGTCTCAAGCCCGTCCGACTCGAACCAACAAACGTAACATGTCGCGTAAGGCTACGAATTCACTACCAGAGGTGGAATTTTTTCGACTTAAGTTATTAGTTGAGTGCTTCAAAAATAGTTGAACCAACCCCTAAATGCACTAAAGCAGTTTTCTTCCCAGACTGACCCCCTTTCTCGTCAAAGACCCCCCCCCCCCCACTTAAGTGAAGAGGACACTACACCCCCAACTCGACACCGTAGGCTAAGTGCATTCACTGCTCGCCGCCTATTTGCGGTGCCAGAAAGCACGAGTCTGACATTGGCCATACCACAAAGAGGCTGGCCGGCGCTCGTTGCACTGATGAGATAAATGGTGCAAACAAAACGAAGATTGCTGAGCCCACCGTGACCGCGGTATTACCGGAATTTGTATGAACAAGTTGATGAGGAGACCAGCTCAAGGACAGGGTCCATTGTATATGTTGATAACTGTAGCCCGACCAAGTTCTCATCACTTAAAGGAAACTCTATATTTAACCAACCTAAAACTCCGCCTGGCAATTTGAAGGTCCGGAATCGCGTCAGCTATGCCAGCGCCATGTTCCTCCATAACGTCACATGCATTCCTGCCAGCCGGCCGAAGTCGCTGGCTTTTTGCTGCTAGTGGAGCGCCGCCTGGCCTTGACCTGCGGCACTCCGCCGACACGGCAGCAGCACCTGTCGTCCTGATGGCAGCGTCCGTGTGGTCGCCCATCCCGACAGCACACCACTCCGGCCGCCCACCCCGACAGCGCATCACTCTGGCCGCCCATCCCGACAGCACACCACTCTGGCCGCCCACCCCGACAGCACACCACTCTGGCCGCCCACCCCGACAGCACACCACTCTGGCCGCCCACCCCGACAGCACACCACTCCGGCCGCCCACCCCGACAGCGCATCACTCTGGCCGCCCACCCCGACAGCACACCACTCTGGCCGCCCACCCCGACAGCACACCACTCTGGCCGCCCACCCCGACAGCACACCACTCTGGCCGCCCACCCCGACAGCACACCACTCTGGCCGCCCACCCCGACAGCACACCACTCTGGCCGCCCACCCCGACAGCACACCACTCTGGCCGCCCATCCCGACAGCACACCACTCCGGCCGCCCACCCCGACAGCGCATCACTCTGGCCGCCCATCCCGACAGCACACCACTCCGGCCGCCCACCCCGACAGCGCATCACTCTGGCCGCCCACCCCGACAGCACACCACTCTGGCCGCCCACCACGACAGCACACCACTCTGGCCGCCCACCCCGACAGCACACCACTCTGGCCGCCCACCCCGACAGCGCACCACTCTGGCCGTGGTATCCTTCCTCATAAGCTTGGTGGGCGTAATTGCGCTGAAATTTGACGTTTGCGCGTAAATTTATGGAAAATATAGCTCAAATCGAATTCGGATTGTACTTTTTCTCAGTATGGCAGAGCGTGGTAGCGTAATCAACGAAAACGAGACGTTTCGTGTGATGTACGTTTGTGGCGATGTGACCATAATATCGCGAATAACCCAATTATTCGCGGTTGAATTTTATCCCAATAACCTGGACTCTTCTACGCATTTGCATGTTTCACTTCTCGGTTCGCGTCGTAGCATGCTATAATTGAGGTCGGTTTCAAAAACGGCTGGCGTTGGCTGCTTGCCAGTCGATTACTGGCGGACCAGAGTCCAGCAGTGCTGAAATGTAGGACTGATTTGAAGACGATGCATTCGCTTTCTCCGCGCAGTCGGGCTCGTGTCTTAATCAGATGACATCGATTCTTACAAATCACCAAAATGGTGCATTCATGGCTTACGCACGGAAGCCGTAGGCGGCCAAATATATCGACCCGTTCTTTAGCCAGTAGGATTGGCCGTTCTCTGCCCCGTCTGAACGAGTTGGCTCACGTCCCTGCGACGCCCTGTCGTTGTTATCTGAAACGAGTGTTGACCTGTGTTCTCCTTTCCTTGCGATTTAAAATGTTTGACGCTTCCCTTTCATCGGGTGGGAAAGACCATATCTTTTGTAACTCAGGATGTTCCAGGAAAACCATGGATGGTCGGATGGCATGCATGATAACACTTACAACTTGAGTCATCATAACTTTTAAAGAATTGCGCCACTTGTTCCTGAACACTGCATGAAGCATCGATAAGTTATTGAGAAGATGTTAGCATCTGGAAAGCGTGACGGACGAATCTAGGCTAAGCTTGGCAGGACCGGTCCGGGCAGGCGAGGCCGAGCGAGACCGGTCCGGGCAAAACATGCTGTGCAGGATCGGTCCGGGTAGAACAGGCCGGGCAGAACTGGTCCGGGCAGGCCAGGCTGAGCAGGACCGGTTCGTGCGGTACGGCCTGGGCAGGACCGGTCCGGGCGGGACAGACTGGGCTGGGTCGGTCCGGGCAGGACAAGCTGGACAGGACCTGTCTGGGCAGGACCAGTCCGAGCAGGACCGTCCTGGGCAGGACAGGCTGGGCAGGACCTGTGCGGGCAGGACTGGGCGGGACCGGTGCGGGCAGGAGAGGTTGGGCAGGACTGGTCCGGGCAGGACAGGCTGAGCAGGACCGGCCTGGGGGACGGGCTGGGCAGGACCGGTCCGGCAGGAGAGGACCAGTCCGCTCAGGTTCAGCCGATGAGCCATCTGATGCAACGCGGAACGAGCGAGGTGATAACGGATACAGCAGTTATCGACTGTCATCATTCAGATGATGGCATGGCTAAGATAACGGGGCCGCCGTCTGTGACAATCCATATCAATGGGTTATATCAATGCATCGCACAGTCGACCGTACATGGTACTTCAGTACGGACGGGCCAACCGATGTCGCATTTGCGCTCGTTTTCACAAATAGCATCGTGTAAAAATGGCCAGCTATGCATCCGGCCCTGGTGACCAGCCTGATCGACGAAATCGATGGATCGGTAGTGATTCACGATGTTGGCAGTTGGGAATAAAGTACCGCAGAGAATCCAAATATTTTAGTTGGAGATTGTTCACAGTGAACAGAGTTAAACGTCTGCGCAATTTGCATCACCTGTCGTTTCCTGTCTGGGCCACAGTGACTTGTGTTGGAAATCGGCTGCTGAACATGTGACAATGGGCGCTCTTCGATTGCAAACGGGCTGTCCTCTTGGTCGGACGACTTTGGGGCATGACGGGGAGCCGCAGCCGGTACATGTGCCTGCGCTGTGGAACACGTGTCAAGTCTTCAGCTGCCCTTGTTCTTGAAATTGGACATCAGCTCTGAAGGCGTGCACGTGCCCCCGGTTTGCGCACGACGCGGCGTAAACGAATGCTTACCTCTTCTCACCTGTTTTGCCAAAACGATCGTCGTGTTTTCCTTGTAATCCGCGAGAATGCTGTCGTGTGTGCTGCGGTGCCAGGTTATAATCTGGGCTCGGGTTCGAGCCGTGGTGTGGGATTTTTCGATGCTTGAAAATGTTTCATTTCCAATTTATTCGAATGGGGTTTGTACAGTTGGGGTGATATTCCAATGTTGTAGGAAAAATCACCCCTGATGAAACAGCTTGGGTGTCAATGGACAATAATTTTTAGTGGACAACTTTGGAGCATCGTGTTTGTTGTTGCCAGAGAATGCGTGAACCTTCGATCAGTGGCTGCAAGAATATTAGCGTCCAGAAGGTGTGATGGCCGGGACGGGTCTTTCTTAAGTCGCAGATAGGATTGTAAAAAAGTAAGATTGTCTCGGCCTATGGGTTAGCTCGTAAAATGTGTTAAAGTTGCGAACAGCCTCGCTCCGCCTTCGGTGCCGCGCGTAATAAAAGAATGTGATGAAAGAAACAAACGGCCCAGCGTTAGTGAAATAAGTGTCGAAAGAGAGATGGGCTGTTACCCTTAAACCACAGGCTTTGGAAAGCATGCAGACGTAGCACACATATGACCGAGTCAAAACCATGTAATCTTACAGCGCCCTTAACCGATCACAGTTACAACTTCGTACGAGTAGCGATATTGCAGGCCTTGCGAAGTGCTGCACACTGCCCGTGAATAAGTCTGCTAAGCTGACTCGAGTTGTTTGGTTGCAGTGTCGTAAAAAATCCACTAATCTGACCCGAGTTGTTTGATTGCAGTGGTTCTTCTGCTGGGAGTGGTCCGCGCACAGGATGGCTGCAAAGGTAAGCAAGTTATCTGTCATGCTGTGCGGCTGGGGTTCTAATGATTTTAATAGCAACTTAACGTGAAGCTATGATCCATTTCTAAACGATAAAGGATAACTGGATTCTACTGGATTCTAATGACAAGTCGTCAGATGTTTGTGTTCTAACTTAAAGCGTTGCAGACATGATAGTCCCATGCTGGGGTTTTGAAGTCGATCTATACGCTGGATGAGCTCGATTAACGATTACGCACCTGCCTGCAGGTGATTTTGCCGTAGTTGTAGTGACGACTAACTGCAAAAGATCTTTTGTAATACCATGCACGCGCAACATTGCCCAGTTTTGGTGATGCTTCGGCGCGTTTACGATTTGGATGCGCGCATGAGCGTCCTGGGCAATCCTACTGCATAACATTTGTTGTCTCATTTCCAAGAAACTCTTCAATAGCTTACATTTTGACATGCCACTGTACAGCAGGTTGAAATGGTTACGACCGTCAGATGTCATATTTGCACTGTACTGTGCTATTTTGAGGGACCATTTGTGTAAAGCTTTTCGGATATGGCCCTGAACGAGTGACACGAGATGTGTTGACATCAAGATAGGTCATCACACATGACCTGTGGAGGCAGCGCGCATTGGATAGATTATATACTAGGCGAATTTGATTGGCTCTCGATCAAACAAAAAGAGAAGTACTGTGATGTAGCAAAACATTCTCTCAGTCTTTTTCCCACCCTTTGTTCATGTGGCTCGCTGTAAAAACAACCCGTGCTCACATGCATGCATTTTCTGCGACAATATGTCGTGATCAGCATCGTAGGATTTTCCGACAATAAGTCAGGCAGAGCAAAGCTATCTTGGCCCATCGCTGGCCGAGCCGCGGCGAGCTGGTCAGGAGTGGGCCGATCGGACGATAACACGTGCGCACTATTCCTCGCGACGCGACTCTGGCTAACCGGTCTATTTCTGCGCCGCCGTAAGTAACGCTGCACATACGGCCGTCAGTCTGCCGCTTCGCTTGGTGTCTGGTCTGTGTGGTAGTGTCCACTGGCGTATTTAGGCTGCACGGTTGCGACAGACAATTTGTACCCACGTATGCTTGAAAACGTAGCTGTCTTCCGACAGCTGCCTTGGTTTCAAGACTGTCACCGGTCTTGAAAGTTGCGCTGTGAAATATAGTCTAAATACGTCACTGGTGGTGTCGTAGACAGTTTTGTTTCCGTCGATAAGTGGTGCTCTGCTTTGTGTTTGACACGATTTAAGTCTTGTCGTTGGTGAGTTGTGTTGTCCAAATGGTTCACTTTGCATGACTTTAATAGTGTAAGCGAATATTTGTTGTTTTGTCCCATCAAGCACAAATTAAAATTGCAAGTCTTACCAAAATATTTCGCAATAGCCTTCGCTGTGAAGGCACAATGCACGAGACATAACGGCCAGCGTCCAAACAGTCTTTTCAACTTCACAGCTAAAACAAGTGGTGAAAATCCATCAAGCTGTTCGCTTCTGCGACACCCGATGCCTGATTCACGGCCTGGTCGCACTGGACTCCAGGTTTAACGCTGTTATTTTTAGGATGTGCGATGCATGTAATTGCACGAACATTTGATCAGCGTAAACTATTGACTTTGCCAGATATACGCCAGAAACCACCCCGCCAGCCAAGGACTTAGCCCACGGATTCCGCGCGAAATTCGAGCATCCATCCAGCTGCGCTGTTCATATTCGCCATGCTAGCAATTTTTGTGTGATCTTATATGAATTTTTAAAAAATAGTAGAATGGGTCGGATCGGCATTGAGTTATATGATTTGACTTCAATCGTCCAAAAGCGAGGCAAAAATAACAACCGCTACCAACACATTCCCTGATTCTTATTGTTTACGTGCAAGACGAGTGCCAACTTAAGCACTTGGTACGTCATTACAGACAAATTTATGCATCTCAACCTATCTTCCGTCTGAAATCGGTGATGTGTATGTACACTAGCAGTATTCATATACTTCACTGTCGCAATCGGCTGATAGTGGAATGCTTTCTGAAGTCGAATCACGTCTATTTAGATTGGGATCATGCGAGCCACTTCTTACGGCATGATTGAGACGAGGTGGCAGTACTACGAACGAAATTGTTCTTAGGTCTATTGTTCTCGTCTTGTGATTAGAATGTTCAGAATGCTTCAGGAATGTAGATATAAACAGAGCAGACAAGGACGATAGTCAGAATATTTATTCCATCCGTAGAATTAAAATCACGTGACGTGGAAAGAGTAATTATCAACATGTGCTCTGACTTGGAGTTGAAATCGGTTTTACTGAAGCAAAAACAACCACAAGCCTGTAATTTCCGTGACAACTGCGGAAAGTTTATATATATATATATATATATATATATATATATATATATATCTCTCTCTCTCTCTCTCTCTCTCTCTCTCTCTCTCTCTCTCTCTCTCTCTCTCTCTCTCTCTCTCTCTCTCTCTCTCTCTCTCTCTCTCTCTCTCTCTCTCTCTCTCTCTCTCTCTCTCTCTCTCTCTCTCTCTCTCTCTCTCTCTCTCTCTCTCTCTCTCTCTCTCTCTCTCTCTCTCTCTCTCTCTTACCACTTACTCTTCACGTTATTGGCAGTTGCAACTTTGATATTGCTCCTAACATAAACGTCAGTTTCACCTTAAATGTCAGTTTTAGAAGGTCCAAGTAAGGTACAAAAAATAAGCCAAGCCTGCTCCACCTGTAAAGTATTATTCAATATTGCGAGCATTTAGTTTAGTGTCTCGTACAACCAGCGTGGTCTGGGATCTGGAGCCAGTTTGGTCTGGGAACTAAGGCCAGTGAGGCCTGGGAGCTGGAGCCAATATGGTCTGGTAGTTGGGGCCAGTGTGGTCTGTGAGCTGGAGTCAGTATGGTCTGGGAACTCGGGCCAGTGTGGTCTGGGAACTGAAGCCAGTATGGTCTGGGAACTGGGGCCAGTGTGGTCTGGGAGCTGGAGTCAGTATGGTCTAGGAAATAGCGCCAGTGTAGTTTAGGAGCTGGAGCCAGTATGGCCTGGGAGGTAGAGCCAGTATGATCTGGGAACTAGGGCCAGTGTGGTCTGGGAGCTGGAGCCAGTATGGTCTGGGAGGTGGAGCCAGTATGGTCTGGGAGCTGGAGCTAGTACGGTCTGGGAACTAGGGCCAGTGTGGTCTGGGAGCTGGAGCCAGTATGGTCTGGCAGTTGGACGCAGTATGGTCTGGCAGTTGGAGCCAGTATGGTCTGGAGAGCTGGAGCCAGTATGGTCTGGCAGTTGGAGCCAGTATGGTCTGGGAGCTGGAGCTAGTATGGTCTAGCCGTTGGGGCCAGTGTGGTCTGTGAGCTGAAGCCAGTATGGTCTGGGAACTCGGGCCAGTGTCTGGCAGTTGGAGCCAGTGTGGTCTGGCAGTTGGAGCTAGTGTGGTCTGGCAGTTGGAGCCAGTGTGGTCTGGCAGTTGGAGCCAGTGTGATCTGGCAGTTGGAGCCAGTGTGGTCTGGCAGTTGGAGCCAGTGTGGTCTGGCGGTTGGAGCCAGTGTGGTCTGGCAGTTGGAGCCAGTGTGGTCTGTCTGCTGGAGCCAGTGTGGTCTGGCATTTGGAGCCAGTGTGGTCTGTGAGCTGGAGATGCAGGATTCCTCTCCCAGCGCTCGGCACCTAACCACGCCATTCACAAGACATCGGCAAATGTGTCTCATTGTGGACTTTCCAGAAGTGCTGTTGAGTCCAGGGGGCCGTCGTGAATGCTTTTTGCTAAGATGATGAACACTGACTATAAAGACAAACTGTCCCAGTGTCCAACGATGTGTGATATCAAGAAAAATGTCAATAGCCGTCCTCGTTTACATATCATAGAATTTTTTGATATTATAGGATATAAAGTTGACATTTCAAAAAGGAAACACACTGCGCTTTGCTTGTTTAGCATGGATGAAACCCCTACGGTACGTGGGGGCGGGGGGGGGGAAGGGGGCGAGAGGACGTGGCCTCTCCAAATTCAAGTGTTGTTTTCCCCACAATTTCATCTATGGAATGCACGTGTTTCACGTTTTTACATTCAAAACGTAATTTTCTGGTCAAGTTGTCCTCTCCAGATGTCAAATTTACCATCCCAACCCTGATTTACCTGCCCCCGATTTCATACACGTGGCTACACCCCTGCTGTTTGGCATCCTGCGGAAGTGACCATGGCGTGTCATTGTACTCTAAAGTAGGCACAGCACAGCTGGTATGGATGCTCCTCTCGTCCACGAAACATAGATGTCGCGTGACACAACAGACAGCACCTTTTGCATGAATTTAAAGGGCGGACTTGTTACAAGACGGTGATAACCATGACGTGGTTCATTTCAGTGACACGCCTGGATGTGTTTCGTGTTCTATGCGTGTCCATAAATGGGTGCAGTGTAGCATGAATGCCACATGCCGCCAAATAACAAGCTTTCACAAGCGCTATGGTGAGCGCTGACAAAATCAAACTGGTGAAGCACGCTCGGATTCAAGGGTAAACCAACTTTTAAAAAGTGGCAAAAAAGTCTGAGCGAAGTGTGTACGGCTGCTTGAAGCTGCCAGTCGCCGGGTAGAGAGTCATCCCGGACGTCATGACCTGCCGCCAGCTGCTGCAGACAGCTTAGCGTCGGGCACCAGACAGTCAGCTGCCCGCAGCTGCTCAGCCGCAACAGCTGCCATCCAGGAGGGCCTCGGACGGGCGCTGTCGCCATGCCCACAGCGCGTTGGTCTCTGGCACCGCGTTGTCATTGCGTCCGGCGACTGCACTCACACAGCAGGCGAGCTGCCAGGTTCTTGTGCACCCGCCGTGACGTCACTTGCGGTGGTTGGGCGCCAAGGTGGCTGTTTGGTGCCGCTGTCCGTAGCTGTGCCGTTGCTGTGCACCGATTCACGGTCGTGGGGAGGTGCGCAGCTGATGCCCCTGCAGACGACCCGGCCAACAGCTGTCCGCGGCATTCTGTCTGCAGATGAAGTGTTGCAGTGCTACTCCTGCAACAGTGTAGACGACAGCCGGTGTCTCAACCCGTTTAATTACACCGATCGGCCGCCCACCTCGCCGTGCAAGGGATGGTGCGTCAAAATTGTCGAGGATATCGACACAGGTGAGTCATGTGCGACCTAGCTCCAAAATGTTTGGCCCCGTGCCAGCTAGGCCAACGAATACGACAGGTCAAGGCCGAGCATAGGTTGGTGATGCAGGGGCTAGACTCTCAGCGTGTTCCGTATGGTAGTCCTGTGCGACGTCATGCAGTCCATGCTTCTTATCTGAACAGCGAGACCATAGTAGAGCTCTACAAAGGTTAGGGAGCTCAGGACAATGCTATGTGTGATTCCAGCAGGAAGTTGAGTGTTTCGGTTCTCAGCGCTCTTTAAAAGTTCTAAAGTGTGTCATAGAACGTTACGATGGCCAGAGGTTTAGCACCGTTATTGTATAGCTCCTAGAAAGTGTTCTGAAAGTGTGTGAGACGTTCACCGCCTGGACAAAGTACGCTGCTCAGAAGCGACCGCCGCTGTTAACGAGACGCGTCCCGTGTTGGCCCGCATGCGGCATGCGTCAGCCGGTCGGTTAGGGCCGCGCCCTCCCCTAGCTCCGTGTAACCGTGGTGACAAGCACGTCTGCAGCCTCGGCGACCTCGGAGCCCTTAGAGCGTAGCACCGCTGCGCGGGTGGTCCTCGCTTGGGTCCTGACTGGCCCGTCCCCTGGCGCCCCTAGACGGCATGCTCGCGACGGAAGGCGTTTAGCTCTGTGCCATGCATCTCCAGTGCCATCTCGACATAAACAGCGTCTCTAGAGGATACTATGACATGTCTTGCCCGGCTCGCCACGGTGCTCGCTCGTCGCCAGTGGATGGCCCGTCCGATTTGGCGGACGGTAACCACCACGTTAACATCGCACTGAAAATAAGCCGTCCGGTGATGAGTGGCGGTCTTTGTCCCGCGAATGCCGTATATCAGTGAGGTCCAGTGTCCATCATGATCTAGTTGGCCATGGCCGATTTTTTCATCAGTGGTATTCGGAGCATCAGTAACTCAGCAAACAGAACAGAACAGATTTCAGAACTAAAATCAGAAATGTAGTTCCGAGTAAACGGAATCGGCTATAAGCAATGACGCTAAAGCTTGGATGTTGGAACCAGCAAACCTGGCTCTGTCACTTCCAAATATTCTGAACAATGCAAACGCAAAACCTTGTCAGAAGTGAAAATCGCTGCCTTTGACCAAAATATTGTCCACGCACTCGAAAGCCTTTGCATTGACTGAAGCGTTAAACGTCTTTAAGCCCTTTGCTCGCCACAGGGAGCGTGAACACGTTCGCCAGCCGAACGTCGACGTTATCGACGTTTCGCTCCACCGGCCAGGTCGATGAGCCTCCAAATGAACTCGTGCAAAGGCATTGCCGCTTAAGGCAGACCGGCCTGCAGATGTGACGACGAGCGGGCGCCGGACCGGGCCCCATCTGATCTGTGTGCCCCGTGCCGGCTGCAGGGAGAGGTACGAATGAATGCCGCCTGTACTTTCAGAGTTCGAAAAGGTCCTCCGGACGTGTACGGATAGGATGCACATCAATCCGTTCATAGTGGGCAACGTGTGCATGGAAGAAAGCAGCGGACACGGCTCACTGTGTTTCTGCAAAAAGGACAGATGTAACGCTAGCGCGCGAGCCCGCCTTCCCGCCGTCCTCCTGCTTGGCGCCGGCCTGGCCCGCTGGCTGTTAACGTAGTGGCCGGTCGTGCCCCGGTCAATCGGCCACCCCAACGCCCGTCCGGGTCGTTTTCCGTTCCTCGTGCTGAGGCGCGGCGCCGGTCCGCCGCCCACACACGCCGTGTGCTGTTGGAGCGCTGTATATATTTACTACTCGGTCCAGCTGTAGCATATAGCTCGATCGGAGGGCTTGTGATACATGCAATCCTTGTTATTAAACTAAGATCTAATCGCGTCCCCTTGGAACGTCGAGTGTTTTATCCGATCACTCTTTTGCTCACTGCGGCTGCTCGCTAGATTATGGAGCCATCATGCGAAGGCAATGCGCCCGTCGGCCTGCTCCTTCCGAGGCCATCCTCTCGCTGTTGACGCCTACTTGTGCGCTCTCTGTCTCTCTCACTCATGTTGCGCGCCAGCTTTGAGTGTTGGCTGAGCTGGCTCGGTCGGCATCTCCTCTCCTCTCCTCTCTCTAACGACACCGCCACGTCAGGCCGAGCGCGAGGCGCTTCGTACTCTGCTTCCCGAACACCAGCGCGCGCTGGAGTGGTCCCCCACGCGCCCGACAGCCCGGCCGCGCCGCCGCCGGGTCCGACGCCCGGCCCGCCCGCCCCAGCGCCGCGCCCACGCCGCGGACGGCTGGCCCTCGGACGCTGCGTCGGCGGGCCGGCCGTGCGGAGAGTGCGGCCGCGGCGCGGCGGCTACGCCGGCGTGCGGCTCTGGGTGGCGCGCAGCACCGCGGCGGCGCCAGTCCCGGCCGACCGGCCCTCCTTCCACGGCTGAGCGCCGGCCGGCTGGGACGCACACTCTGCGGCTCTGGCTCGCCGCTTTCCGTGCATCCGATGCCCACTAGTGTACCGGTGTTGAAGTGAATCACAAGGATTACGATCGGGGCGTCCGCCCAGGGCTGAGCTCGCGGGTTCAGCTTTGCGCGGACCCTCGCGCCTGGTGACCTGAACTGTGTAGTCCGGGTGCGTCGGCGCGCCCGGTCCGCCTGCCGCGCATGCCACGTCTCGTCCGCCCGCTCCCTTCCGCCGTGGTGTTTTCTCTCTTGCTTACGCCTTCTTACTAGGTGGTCGCGGCGTCGGTGCATGCGTACCCAGCGGAATGCCGGACCGGGTGCGGTTCGAGAATGCTCTGCTGCGCAGCTCCTGTGCCGCCCCTGCGCGGGGTGCCGAGCCTTGCTGACCTATTGCCGACGAAGACGATAACCTGCAGCCTGTGCCCTGTCGCCTTTCACTCCACACCAGTCTTCACTCCCTCACACAAATCAGAACTCTATTAAGATGAGCGCTGTAATGCAGAAATTATATTGTTCTTCACCTTCGCTAATTGCTAATATTCATCTGGGTGAAGAGAGCACTGACATCGGGCATAACACCGCGTAATGTAAACGGCTTACTTCATTTTCAACAAAGCTGACAGCGACAATCATTTTGCCTTCGACCAATGGGGGACAGCTCCGCGAAACGTGTCAGCTCCCGGCCTTTCCTTCATGTTAGCAGCATAGCTTTCTGCGTTGCCGCTGTGTTCGCCGTGTTCACGCCCGCCGTGCTCACCGCCAGTTCACACGACGCTGTCATTCTCCTCCTTCAACGGCTCATATTTCCTTACCTCGCCCAGCGAATCAGTTTGGCCTGGTTTTAGTTGTGGATGATGTCTCAGTTGACGGTCTTGTTCCTTGATTGTTTTGAACTGCACTGGCCTGGTGCAGCAAACTGTCGGTGGCTCTCTGTCCGGCTGGGTTATTTGTTTTGCCCTTTTGTTTAGTCTTGTGTCGCATTCGGGGCCGATTGGCCTATGCTGGCACAGCAGTGGTAAGCTGACACTCTGTTGACATATACTGACACGTGATAACGGTATTGTAGTCTTGTAAGCCCTGGTGTGATAAACGTATATCATCGGCGGCTTGTGACAAAAGGCGAGTAGGAAGCGGCTCAAGGTGCAATATAAGTCGATCGCTTGTGTTCACGGTGTGTTGTGTGCCACCCTTACCCACAGGAAGAGAACAGCGGCCGTCGGTTGACACAATCGGCGTCACGTCAGTGTCGGGCCGTGTGACTGCCGACAGCTAAGGGTGTCAGCTCGCATTCGGGCTACAAGGGAGCATGCGCTGCTGACCCCGCCGAATTATATGATGCGACTGTGAGAAGGGCGCGTTGCGTCAGGCCTCGCCAGGTGTGCGGGATTTCCGTACGGAGTTTCGCCAGTCCTTGGAGAGGGGTGCGCAACGCTCTCTTCCGTTTCGTCTCCACTCAGCCAGGATCACAATTAGGCAGGTTAGTGTAGATCACTCTGCTTTGGGACCATATTCTTCCGGGTTTGACCGCCGAGAAAAGGCTTCAGGTTATGATGAAGTCGACGTCCTTCAAAGCAAATACCTATTCGAACAATTTTGAGTTTTTTGTAACCGTTGCCATTTATTAATGCGTCACTTGCGATGCGTCCGAATAAGTCAAGTTTTCTCATTTTAAGCAATACAACTCAGTATTGACTAAGCCTGAGGTAAATCGAAGATAAAAAGACGTTTTCACGCATTTTGCTCCAGTTGACATCGGAAACGTTCGCCACGTATCACAATTCTTACAGGTGCGTATGTTAGAGGTGATTGCTTAAACATGCAATCTGTTGGGTCCGTAACGCTAATGAGAAAGATTATCGAATGTATGCATTCAAGCTATGCACCAGGCATCATACACATATAATTCTAAGGCTAACAATGTGAATTGGGATAACAACTTTTTCAGAACACGCTCGAATGAAGCACTAAGTTGCATCATGCCACTTCTGCTTACCATAAACCGCGATCGGGGACTGGGGCCTGGATTCGAGCTGGGCTGCTGCTGGCTGGTGGGCCAACACATGGTGACGACTGAAATATTGCACAGCAGCCCAAACTTGAAGGTGACCTGACGAGTAGCGCTTAGCAGTAAATGATGTGCTTTAATAACACTTCGGAAGTCATATCGACTACTAACAACATAATGTGGCAAGCACTTTGACCACAACGGTCTGTCTACCAGATAATCTATAAGCATGGGTATTTGGTTTGTACAGGAAAATCGTGGAGAAAATGAGCGAATTGGCCACAGTGGGCATGTTGTTTTATTTCTGTTTTGTGTTTTACTTTTTTAGGTCGCTCCAAAACAAGTGGTCAGGATTCCTACTCTTACTCTCCCAACGATGAAAAAACTACCTTTCACGGTAGAGAAAATGCAAAAAGTGGGGACGCTCTCTAGGAGTACACGTAACAGCTTGACATGCAGAGCTTGGTCAGTGGTACATATGAGTTCGTTACTCGAAAAAAAAACAGGGAAAAGCAAGTGATCGCTGAAGCCAGCAATCATCAGGCTCTTAGTCCCCTCCAAACCCTGACGGTTATTGCTACCAACTGTCATTCATTGGGTTTTCTTTTCTACCACTGTTTTAATAACACGCTCGGCCCTCCATTAATATCTAGCTCTTGCTCTTGCCCTCTTCGCCAAGTTCATTCCTGCCCTTTGTGACTACTGATACGAGAGATGGCACAGCTGCGAATGGAAATCACCGCCTTATGATATCTTCAAAGTACGTATAATGCATTACCTTAAAAAGCGCATACAAACGTTAGTAGACCTGGGATCTGAATCAACTGCGTTCCGACGGTTTTGGAAAGATGTAACTAAATCTACGATGTGAAATTTGCAAAGACTGAGTGCCTGTCAGCGACGTTGTTCCATTTGTTGGTTTCCCGAACCGTAAACTTACTCAGCGTCGTATGCCAGACATTTTGTCAACACTATTTGTCAGTTTCGCCAGTCGAGCGAGTAAAAATAGAACATCGATGGATAGCGGCGGCGCTCGGGGCAGTGGGCACGACAGGAGAGGGGGGGGGGGGCAGCAGGACCAGTTCGCGGACCCAGACTGAGTCACCGCACGAGGAGGACGGCAGCGCTATGGGCGCCGTCCGAAGCTGCCGTGGTCTAGCTGCGGAGGCGGAGCCGACAGCGGGGGCTGCAGCGCGCCCGGACACCTTGGCTGGGATCCAGCCAGGGTCCGACCCGGGGCGCCCAAGCCGGTCCGGGTCGGATCCGGAACCAGACACACCGTCGTCTGGAGTCAGCCGACGCTGATGACTGCAATCCCGGAGAGCTCGCAGCGCTGCCAACGGTCGACTTCAGGTAGACGGCCCGGCGTGGCCCGACGGTAACGTCTCGTCTGGCATCCGTCGCAGTTTGGAACGGGCTGGCTTCCGCGAAAGAACGCTTCGCCATGCCATTAATTCGTTGTTTCGAGCTATATCCGTATCCATGGTGGCCTGGCCCGTGACCTGGCCGCTGGCGATTTAATCATGTTTAATTTTAGTTAAATGGTGTTTAATGATGGCGTATGCAACGCGACCTGAACGCGACTCATCCGGTTTGCTGTGATTAGGCGCTGTGATTCTGCGCGCCATCCTGATCCAGATAATGACCTTCCCCAGTTCGTCACACGCAGTGGTGCGGACACCATGCCCGACGCCATCGCTACCGCCCGTCAGCAGAGGTGGCCGGGGCGGCGCTGTTACCGGTACGCTGCCGTCGCCATGGTAACCTGGGAACCAACTGTTGCCGCGGCGGTCATTCGATGAGCAGCCAGATACGTAACTGTCTGGCTCTTACTGTCTGAGACGCACATGTTCAGTTGCTTACTGAGCTGGTCTTGAAGGGTGATTAGATTAAAGCGTGACCCGACTGTCTGGATCATGCTGAGGCGAGGCGAGGCCCTCCCTGCTGAGGTGAGGCGATCTGACCTGAGGCGAGGCGAGGCGAGGCCCTCCCTGCTGAAGGTTGAGGCGAGGCCCTCCCTGCTGAGGCGAGGCGATCTGACCTGAGGCGAGGCGAGGCGAGGCCCTCCCTGCTGAAGGTTGAGGCGAGGCCCTCCCTGCTGAAGGTTGAGGCAAGGCCCTCCCTGCTGAGGCGAGGCCCTCCCTGCTGAGGTGAGGCGATCTGACCTGAGGCGAGGCGAGGCGAGGCCCTCCCTGCTGAAGGTTGAGGCGGGGCCCTCCCTGCTGAGGCGAGGCGATCTGACCTGAGGCGAGGCGAGGCGAGGCCCTCCCTGCTGAAGGTTGAGGCAAGGCCTTCCCTGCTGAGGCGAGGCGATCTGACCTGAGGCGAGGCGAGGCGAGGCCCTCCCTGCTTAAGGTTGAGGCGAGGCCCTCCCTGTTGAGGCGAGGCCCTCCTTGCTGAGGGCTGAGACGAAGCCCGCCCCGGTAGCACGACCCATTGGTGGACACACCGCAATGGGCGCGACATTGCAATTGGCTTCAATGTAGCGTTGTATACATGGTGTACAATGTAGCATTGTAGCAGTGGTGATAGTTACATTCGAAAAGTGGCATTGTGTACATGGTGCTGCATTGTTATGTAAAATGTATGTGTATGATAAACATTTGGCGGTGTGAGTTACATCATAGGGGCGCTATCTGCCAGTTATGCCTTCCGACTGAGTAAACATGGTAGTAGGCTAGTTATCCGTCCAAAGCGGAGTGGTGAGTCAGTTGTCAGTAGTCAGTTGGCTTCACAGACGTCCCTTAATATGCGTCGGAGGTGCCTGAGCCCTCCCCCCCCCCCTCTCCCCTCTCCCCAACCCAATGCTGTCCTGCCTCCCCCTTCAATGCATGTAAGCAAAAATGGAATCCTGAGCTAAGAAAATGCGTACCATTATCATGGTACACACTACATAAGGTAATTAAAGGGATGCACTAGGAATACACTACACTAGGATACACAAGGTTCTTAAACACTCCACTTTTAATGCCATGTTTACTTGTTAGTTAATAGTATTCTATGGATAAGTACGTGATGTGTTTTATAAGTACAGGGTGGCCCGACAAACCTTTTTCGCAAGAGTGGCAAGTGTATTTGTATAGCAGTCGTTACTGTGCTGTTATGACATTCAACTGTCAATTCCATGGCAAAGCACGAGCAGCGACAGCGGCAGTCATCAGCGATTCCATATCCGTCAATCATGGCTGCAAAAGATACACCAGACAAGCCCCTGGCAGTCCAGGATGCACAACATCTGAACAGGCCGCAGGTGGTCGATTGTCCGGACGATCCTGTTGACGGTGATGCGGTCCATCCCAAGTGTGAAGGCGGGCTTGAGCTCCTGAAGGTTCGCTGACTTGTCCATGCGGACCTAGTTCTGGAGGTTGCTCCATAGCATGAAGCTCGGGGACGACAGGTCGGGCAAGTGAGCAGCCACAGCACGCCATTCTAAAGATGGTGTGCATTTCTGAGTAGGTTACATTCCAATCCAGATGGATTCGCGCATCGTCCTCCACATTTTTTTATATAAGGACTGTTTTCTTGGTGGCCATGCGATGTGTCTAGTTGCAATTTGTTTTGATTTCTCGGGTTTTTGGTTTAGGTCATAGGTTTTCCATTTAGTCCTAAACTCTTGACTGGATGTATTTCTGGGATCAGTGCCTGCGCTTGGCAGTGCTTGAGCCTCCTCCCCACTATCCTATCGTAAAATTTCCGGTCAACGGCAGAATTTTGCGACGAAGGCTTAATGTCCCACAATGCTGGGCGTGGTGCGCCCCGCCCGCTGCCATCGTCTGACCGTGGAGGCGAACGCTGTCACTGGCCGCAGGTCATCCCAATCACGGACTGCCAGCGAAAGCCGAGAGCAACTCGAACCCACCCCACCATGGGTGGTTGAATCGGGAGGTGGACGCTCTAGCCAACTGAGCTGTTGGAACGATAACATACATTTCTAGATGGAATGGGTATAAGTACAGATCGGCGATGTATCTATCACCTGGCTGCACCGCAGAAAAGGGATGCCAAGGAAGAGGATCATCACGTTTTGTACGGTGTCCCCCAGAATGAAAGAAATAATGGGGTGGTGTTGATCGACTTTTGCAAAGCAATCTGACCATGGCACACTCTTATACGTGGAGTGTTTTCATTATCACCACTACTTCTTCATAAGGTTGGTTGGCCACTACCTCCTGATATGCTGAAGGTCGATCATTTTCAACAAGAAAACTCCCAGATTATAAGATCGAAGCACTAATAGTACAAGGCCTCTCCGGCTTGTACCCCTTTTTAAAACGTGCCGAAGCATTGCTCGTTCTGTGTTTGTAGCACGGCCACACTGGCGACTCGTCCGGTTACCAGGCGTTACCTAATCTGTCTCGCCAGTTAATGACATTCCTGTTGAGATGGTCGTGCAAGTTCACTTTTACTTTCAAACAGAGGTGCACACTATTGTGCTACGACAAATTTACCTGGGCTCTCGTCAGATGTAGCCATGCCATTCAGCATAATATCGTCTTTTCGCCCCGGGCTACTTGTGATGAACGAAGTGCACTACGTATTTTTGCTGATAATTGGTCGCCCAGCAAATATTTATTTTTTCTTGGAATTGCACTCAGTTTTAAGCCTGTTGCAAAAAGCCAGCCTCACATCCTCACATCGCCATATCACATGAAGTGTGAATTAATTTCCCTTGTGCAAAAACAAAGAAATGGAATCGGCCAAATTCAGACATTTTTATTACGGCAACGTGGTGCATGGTATTGGCCGCAATATGGTGGAAATTGGACTTTGGGGTAAGTCTATCAACTTTCTCGCCTCAGCCCCCCCCCCCCCCCCCCCCATATACAATCGATCGTAAACAGTATCAGACCTGGTTGGCCTAATTGACATGGCCAGAAGTACACGTTTGGTGAGCTTAACATCGCAGTAAGCCCATCGTGGGGTTGTCCTAGTGAAAAAGCTGGCATGTCACGAGGCTGTGAGAAAAAAATGTTAACTCGAGCTTTGGATTTTGCCAGTAAGTATGCAATTTGTGTCTTGAAACAAAAATACGTAAAGCTTCTTGGGATAAATTTAGGAACAGCAGAATACAGCTGCGATGGCAGTAAACGTTGTAACCATCAACGTCGGAATTCGGATGTTCTCTGATGTTAACGCGGGGAGAAATGTCGTGCATGCCCACGCTGACCGTGATGATGACCGTGGTGATCTTCAGATTCTCTTGACTGTCATATTATGCGGTGAACAAAGTTACACTGGGCGATAGATGCAAATAACTAAGCCGGTCACATTTGTTCCCGCCAAGTTCTTTTCCGGTGACACACAACGCCTGTTCGCTGAGGTCGTGTTAACTTAAACGAGGCCCCACGTGATCATACAGGGAGGTGAAAGATCTGCAAACAAGGGAGCTTTGAGCCTGCACACTACGGTGCCTGCCGTCAGCCGTCGACTCGGAATGAAATGGAACCACAGCTACAGCTACCACTTGAAGCTGTAGCTGTAGGTGGGTGACCGTGGCCAGCCGAGGCGAGCTTGCACCGTGCAGCTGTGGAAATCTGGATCCACGGGCACGAGCATCAGTCACTTTAAAAAGAGAACTCCTCCGCTTTCTGAAAAAGCAAAAGCATTGACGGGGGCTGGTTGTTTGGGGTCTTGATAGAATTCTTAGGCTCTAAAATATTATTGGAGTTATGCGATGATGAACCGCGAGGTGAAATTAACGACCCAAAACAGACGCAAAAGAGACCCACTCCTCCTTATCGGAATGCGACAATAGCAGCAATCTGGGCAGCATCGAACATGGCGCGAGCACAGAGTCGCGGTCATCCAGCTTGTTAATCACATCTTAGCGTTGCCAAATTACCACTGGTTGATCGCTCAGTCAACGGGGGCCAGTATTTTCAGCAAAACGACGAAACGCACACGTGCCGTATGCTGCAGGCGTCCGGTACTTGCGGCGAGAAAGGTCAGCCAAAGTGACGATCAGGTGCATTACCGAGCTCCTTGCTTTGTGAAATGTCAGACAAACCACACATATTGAGGGAGTGATAATTTGCAATGGATGCAATAAGAGAACCTAAGCATTACAGCAAATGTTCAGCAGAGCTCACTGCTACGGCAAAACAGCAATCACCTGTCTTCGCGCAGTGGGTTTTCGAGTCACTAAAAAGCCTGACAACGCAGAAACATTGTGGCAGCATGACACGTGGCAATGGCGAAATGAGGCAGATCTGGCATTTTCAGTGGTGGCAAGTGCTGTTTTTTTTTTTTTACTTTTGGAATTCGCAACAACACTGACCGCAGTGTGAATCCAGATAGCAATTTCAAAGCTGGGCAATCGCCGATTTTACCTTAGTAACAGGTTGTGGGCTCACAACAGAAGAATGTCTTAAATGATCTTTACGGATCATTTATTGCTACTGCTTTGTCTTGCCTCATCAGCCTTGATGCATGACTAGGTGGCGCGAAACCGGCAAGGCTATTGCAACGTTAATCTGAATGTTAATCTTAATGAGCGTTAATCAAGGTTCGAATTAATGTTATCCCGAAGGGTTTATGATCGCTTCTTGAAGCATATCGAACGGGACTATTCAGGCATTTCGAACAGCCACCTTCCAGCACGCACACGCGTGTAAACGGGGCGGGGAAGAATATGTTATCACACACCAATATCCGTCAGCTCTGCATGCGATTCAACCCATGATGATGCACGGAAAACAGGCTTGCCGGTAACGTTTGTTTCCTACCTGACCTACCTACGGCCCTAGTTCGCAGCACATCACACCACGTTCCCGCCGAGTACCCCGACAGCTAGAGGCCGGGTTGGCCGTAAAATCCCACGAATAGTGTTGAATGCATCCCGAAATAATGCAGACGTAAATCGCTCATAGAATGCCCGTCGCTTAGCGAAGCAAGTCTGCAAGCACTTGTGCCCACCACTTTCGTACCCACTGGATGCTGCGTTGAGACTTTTGACCCTTAGCGGGATACCGGAATATCCCTGGAGTATGTACGGCAGAACTGTGGTGGAGGGCAGGGAGAGAGAACGCCTCCCTCCCGTGTTCGGACGAAGTCAGTATCAGTGCTACTTACAAAATTGCAACGAGGGATTAATTTAGACTAATGCACAGAAACCGTTGTTCTTCGCTTGTTGTGACCGACCTCAACCGAGAGTGGACCAGCGGAAGCTTACTGTATCTCTGCCGCCAGTTCGCAGTAAGCTGCTGGAGTGTACCCTCGACTGGCTGCCTGCCCGCTCATCGAGAGAATACCCGCCACACCACAGTAGGCTGCCCGCCCGCGCCTCGAGGGAACACGCGCTGCGCCGCAGCAGCTCACCAGCTGGCGGGGGTAGAGCGGAGCCGACCAAGCCGACTCATGAGATGAACCATGAGCTGACACGAGCAACAGACCCTCCTCTGTTGGACCTGTAGCAAAACGTACGTGTAGCACGTCAAACAGCGCACGCAGAACATTGGCCTCGCATACCTCGCATATTGCGCTCTCGTGTATCGGTTTTATGGGTACCGACATTTTGTTCAGAGGCCTTGAAAGGGCTGTTAAAGGAGTAAGTTAACAAACAAAAAAACTGTGTTTTGCTCTGTGTGTGCTTTCATTCCCTTGTTATGGAGCATTTTTGTTTGTTTAAATTTGTGGTAGAGGAACTGACACCGTTGGGATTAATTGCAAATCGTGTTTTCTGATACGGCGCAGAACGACCTTCTGGGTACATCAACACAGCGATACTCACACATTTAGAACCGTGTAAAAACATACGCATCTGTGCCGCTAAACATTCGTTAAGTCAATATTTGTATGTGGTAGGAGGATTTATTTAGGTCTCCTATATTACCTTGTGTGCTTGCAATTGCATTTCCATGTTATTATCTTATCTGGACCCATGTGGAGCACCGCTGTGACTAGGAATGGCAGTGAGGTTGGTAGATCCATGGCGAGTTAAAAGTAGAATTCACCGCAATACCATGCTTTGTCTGATCCCACAGCATTGCCACGAAATAATCAGCAAGCGTTTCAGTACGGCCAGATGTTCTGTGTTTTTGTTTCTCGTAGATGAAGCTAATAATGTATGACACCTTTCTGTTAAGCATAAAAGGTTTCAGATGCTCATAAAAGCAACAACAGAGCTAGCCAGACATGTTTGGTCTCATTTATGTACATGTGCTGTGGGCTGAGTGGAGTCAAATATAAATGCTTGCATGACTGCTGTAGGTTGTTTCGGGACTGCGTTATTGTCTGCCACATCATCGTTAATCCACGTCCATTCTGCTAATAGCCATCGGCTACTGAAATCCGTTGGCCATTTAGATGAAGGCTTATTCCACAGTGCTTCGGCTACAGCTGGGCCGACCCCTGTATCTCGCTCAGAAGCAACAGCGCTGTGCAGATGGGAAGCTTGTTCGTGATGCTGAAGAATCGGCCAACGTAACACGTTCCGGTGGCGAACTGTCAAAATCTGCCGGAGAATGCCGACTCGATGGCCTCTGAGTGTCTGCCAGGGGCCAGAGCGCTGGACCTGCCAACAGCGGAGGCAGACACCTTCTGGCGGGGAGTCGCTGACGAGGTGTCGGGGTCATGGCCCGTCGGGCTGCCGCTTCAGATGCGGTCGGCTGACTCTGAAATGGTGTGTTGGCGAAAAAAGCCATGCATATTTTTTGTGTGAACTTTCTGGCACGAACACGTACTACAGACCTTGTAAATGTTAGCAGTATTGAACACGGAACGAGTTTTAATAGCACTTAAACACGTGCAAGGGTGGCCGGTTGGATGCTCTTCAGTCGGGTGGGGGTCAACTTGACCCCCCTGAGATCTGAGAAACTAAGAGAGCTAGAGACACCAAATTTACGGAGTGTATTGACCCGTATGTGAACTCACTTAGGTCAAAAGCTTTAGCTTCCTAGGGCATGGGCATCGGGTCAAATGAGGTCAAACAGGTCAAACTCCAGGTTGGTCTCCAAAGTGCTCCCAGAGCCTAGATGCCTGTCCCAAGTGGAAGGTTACAAGCTCATTTAAAGTAAACGACCTTGTTTGACCTTTAAAAAGTCATGGTGACCAAAATCATGCAACGCTGCTCTGGGTTTTGTTTGTGAATAAGCGACGAAGATCACGCAAGGCAGCATGTTCATGAAACAAAATGTCGACCCGGGTTATCTTAGGTCAACGACCCGCTCTAACCTCTAAGAAGTCAATCGAAGATGTATAATGCGGTTCCTGCCATCAATGAATTCGAAATGAGCACCAGAAACTATCTCATACAGCAAGCCCTAGAGAAATAAAACAGGTTGGTTTTGACCTTGGTCTGACCTTGATATCTGACCCTAGCTCGGTGGAATTTGTTCATTTAATTGTTGTGTCGTCTAAGAAAGCATTTCAGAGGTGCATCGCTTCGTCTAACACTCCGTTGTTGCATCAGATCAAAAGATTCCCCAGAAATTTACTTAGCTGAATCCATGACGTGACTTTGCCCTGCTGCAGGTCAGCGACTATACAAGGTACGTCTAAATGTTTGATATCAGACGATCTATTTTTGAATGATCTACAGCTGTGCAAAATTGGGTGCGGCTACGCCGCGTCGTTCGGAAAACATCCCGGAAAACCTTCGGGGGGGGGGCAATTTGACCCCCGCCCGAGCACATGGTAAAATTTCGTCGGACATCCGTCGTTTGGCCACCACCAGTTTAGAAAGTATCAAGTGAGTAGCTCATTATCAGACACTTCTAATCGATATTTTATCAAACAAAGATTATTTTCATACAGCTCGAAGGCCGCATCCTGCAGTACGCTGCCGCATTTCGGTTTGCGTAACTCATGGAAGGGATCAAACATATTGCATTCAAAAGCTTATTTCAGCTTTTGCGCCAGGGTTGCCCTTGGTAAAAGGAAGCACGACCATGAATCCAGAGATGTCAGGCGTCCAGTATGGTTGAATGCAGAATAGCTTCCATGGCACCATCACTTGTTTTTCGGCAAGATAGTGTCATTCCACTGTCAGCCACCTGAGATGGTGTTATTCCCCACCGCTGCTCAATATAACGACACGAAGTCCCCCGTACTGTTTCAACAACCTACAGCCAACACAAACGTCGATACTCGTAGATCAGGTCCCAGCGCAACTGCGTCATTATCCTAGATCGTCAATGGGATCCATGACATGAGCATGCGTTGTTTGAAGACTCGACTGAGAGAGCTGCCGCTGGGCTGGTATGACGTGGTATGATGTGATCGGCTTTTCGGGCTGACGCCGACCTTTGTCCACACGTTCGTGTGATGTGTTATAGACCTTAGTGCTATTGCTTCTCGTCCATTGGTTTTACACATCGACCTGACGCGCAGCTTGTAATAGCCGCACATGTGTGGGAAGATAATGCTAATAAATGTTAAATGTCAAAAGTAAAATGGCGTCGTTCGGTCGCTAGGGCGATAAGCACCTTCGTGTGATCGACCGGCGGCTGAAACGGGACGTCCCACCGAATGTATTCGGTGCTGCAGGCAGAGCTCCGCCCACATGCGGGCGAGAGTTTGGAAGTGTCGATTCGGGCCCACATTGCGACAGTGAACTGGTCGCCGTCATGCACAGCTTAACGAGGCGGCGCGCTGCACGGTATTCTGATGGCCGTGCTTCAGTGTGCGGTGTTTTTAGCTACTGCACAGTGACCACGTCGAGTTTCCTGTCTGCTGCGGTTGCTTGAAACGGACAAGCGTTGCGGTGCGATCGCGTGCATCGTGGTGGTAACGGGGAACGTGCCATCGCGGCGGTCGCCGTGTCACCTAGTGGCAGCAAGCGCAGCTGAACTTCGCTCTCAATTCCGGGAATGCAGGTGGCGCTGCGTGCCTGCACATCCTCGCTTCTATTCTCTCGCTGCTCAAACTACCGACGTCTGGGTTTACTTTTGCCACCCCAGAATTTTTGCGTGGACCATGGATCAATGCAATGATTTTTGTGAGGCTTCGTCTCTCTGTAACACTTTTTCTGAATCGTTGGAAGTCAGAAGAAAATGCAAGATTTCAAATCACTTTGCGTTCTGCTCTCTGCATGCCTTTCCATTGAACAGCTCCGGCAGCAGTGCCTGTGAAGCTCGGCTAAAAACCACATGGACCGGCGACGTCAGCGGTCTGGACGACAACAGCGCAAACCAAGCTAGCCCAGCACACTTGTCACAGATCAACTAATGTTCCCAATAATGCATAATGCTATTGCGTGGCTGCTAGCCACAGACTTCTGCTTCGTTTAAGTAATACACTATGTTTATAACGGCATTTTTTTCTCGCACAAAGCGGGCAAGTCTGCTAGACCAACTAAGATTCTCGCGGATTCTCACATCGGACGGCCGGGCCTGTTTGAAATGAACTCGTGGAAGCGTATCGCTGACACCAGATTGGCGTCCGGCGCGTGGAGACGAAATATGACACCGGTTTAAAGATTTTCAAAATCGTGCGCGGAAAGTAGAACTATGCGCGTTTGAAGGCACTGCCTCAGGGCCATCAAACGACACCGAAATAACGAGATGGGTCGAATGTGTCTCTTCGCTTCATGTTACCCACAGGCAGCTTAGTGCTGGATGCGGGCGGCCGTAAAAAAGATGGCATATATGTTAATGTGTTTTTAGCGAAAGCTTATGATGCACGGCTCCGTTAATGTAACAATGTCGGCTCGCCGCGAGCGTTCCACAGCATCGTCCGTTGTTGCCCCCTGCCCGCGCCAGCCGCAGGTCGCGGCGTGCAGTGGTTCCTAAAAAAACACCGCTGCTCAGATACCAGAAAAGTTAGGAACACGGTTTTGCGTCAAAACACGTGCAATAAGTGTCCCAAAGGCTTCATAAAATTTCGGCGCAATCGCATACCGTGTTGGAGAGGTATTCTGGGAAAGCCTCAGGGGAGAGGTCGCATCCCCCGCCCCCCCCCCCCCCCCCTCCCCCACGGCTAAGACTGAAAAACGCTACTGACAATTCCATCCAGTTAAGAATTCAACTACGAAGCATACGTAACACGACATATCGAGCCGCGGATCCTTTTGATCTGGTCTCGTGTGGGTCTCTTGTTAATGTAATGTCTCTACTGGCGATGGTGTTGGCTGGTATGGGCTAGCCTAGCTGATGGACGCACGCATACAAGACTTTATGACACTAAGCTGGACATTAGTTTTCACAGGAACTACGGGTCAAAATTTTGTTGAAATATTTCCACTTTGCGAGGCACACGACGTACGAGGATATCTGTCCACGTGCATTCGGATATTTTAACGGAGGTTTGCGCACACATAGTTGAACACTTCTCAACTGTGCTAGCAGTTTCCTTGCTCGGGGATAAACTCCTATATATATATATATATATATATATATATATATATATATATAAATGTTCCCAATCAGGGCCCAGTGTGCATGTTTATACTTTGCTAGTGCAGGCTCCTCTGTGCGCGTGCACTGCTGTGCAAGCGGAGCCAACATTTGGCATCATAAAACTGGACAGAAGGGTTTTGCTAATGGCCGAGATACACTGTTTTTGACTCTGGTATGCGTTGTATCTCTTGTATCTCGTTGGCAAAGCATGACAAGATTCAGAACATAGATATCATAGTTGTGTGTCCCCCCGTTTCCATCCCCAGCATCCCGGTCAACCTAGACGTAGGCATGTACCTATATTCCAGCACTCCCAAAGGGATACCATGTCGACCACATTTTATTGTCAGGACCGAATTGTACTTCGCTGTCAGCATTAGGATCATCATTTACTGTATATATATATATATATATATATATATATATATATATATATATACATCAGGATTGCATTTACTGTATCTTGTCAATGCACATGCAATCCCAATGTTTCTCAACGCTGAGAACCTGGCGAGTACCATTCCTCTGCATAAACGCGCCCCTCGTGACAAGCCCAGTAGTTTTAGACCCATCTCCATCTGGACAGTTTGACCCCGCCAATCTTGTGAAAAGGTTGAGTGCACATAGCTGTCCCTATATTTCGCCATGCGCCATGTCTTAACGCAGTCGCATTCCGCATGCCGGCAATGCCATTCAAAAGGAGGACGCCATGATCGATGCTGTCGAATAGGTCACGCGCCTAATCAACGAAGGAGGCTTCGTTGCCGTTACATCCGACGACCGCAGCCGTGCCTTCGACAGCGTTGATCATGGTGCCCTCTTAATTAAGTCCACAGGGCACAGTATCGACCCCAGATGGTTCGAGAGATACCTTGTTGACCGGCGGCAGGTGGTGAGAGGTGGTTCCTTACCCACGCCGGTGTCCCTCGGTGTCCCCCAGGGATCCTTGGTTGGCCCAGTGTTCTTCAGCATCTTTACAAACGACCTAGCCAATTATGTCGTCTAATATCCAATCCATATAATAGCCAATCTAGATAATAGCCAATCTCGCCGTCTTACGTCTCTTGCGGACATGTAGTATCACATGACAATGATGCCCAACTGTAAGATTCTGGTCGTCCGTACGATCTAGCCATGGGGAAAAACAACAGGAGTCCCCTTTCGCTGTCCAAACCTACCGGCAATCCAACTCCTTGAAAATATACTCAACCTGTAGGCACAGCCCAAAATCTGAAAAAACATCACTCTATCTTAACATATCTGGTCACATACTAACAAGTTCTTCCTCTGTGCTGATATGCTAGGAGTGACGAGTGACCATTCCCTATTCTAAAAGGACGCATTTCCAACGTGACCCAAAAGTGTAATTCCGTCTTTCTCTGATTGCACAAACTTCGGCACCAACTCACTCCCGAAGCCCGACACCAACTCACTCCCAAAGCCCATAAAGTTCTGGTTCAACGTCGCATCTTGCACAGATGCTGTACCGCCCCGCAGATTGGAACAGGGGTGCTGTGTGTCATCTTGCACAGATCCTGTACCGCCCCGCAGATTGGAACAGGGGTGCTGTATGTCATCTTGTACAGATCCTGTACCGCCCCGCAGATTGAAACAGGGGTGCTGTGTGTCATCTTGCACAGATCCTGTACCGCCCCGCAGATTTTAACGGGGGTGCTGTGTGTCATCTGCACAGATCCTGTACCGCCCCGCAGATTGGAACAGGGGTGCTGTGTGTCATCTGCACAGATCCTGTACCGCCCCGCAGACTGGGACGGGGGTGCTGTGTGTCATCTGCACAGCGAGCAGAAAGGTGGTGAACTTCTAGACCGGGGTCGTCTCGAGGGCACGTATTGGTGGTGGTATTTTGCCAGCTGTAGAAGCGCTGGGCTAGCGAGGTGCACGTGGTCTAGTGACCCACAGTGCCGGCATGGGCATGTGCAGGCGCCGAGACATCCGCGTGCTCATCAGGGAATCCTCTCGCTGTTCACCACACGTGCTGCTGCGTCACAGCACACCACCCAGGCGACGTTGGCAGGCATCTCGCGACCGCCAGATTTTCGCCCGTCAGTGTCGCCGGGTGTTCTTTTCCGGGCAGCCTCATCCCGGACATACCTGCCGCTGGCCATCGCTGGCTCAGGAACAATCTGGCGATCAATCATTCAGTCGATCGGTGTGAATCAATCGGCAAATTCGATCGCGTTGAGCAATATTTTATCGTACGGTGATCATATGTCATTATGGGCCTATGTCTTACTGTTCGTCTCGCAGTGTCTTGATTTATTGCGCAGCGCTGCATTTTGCTTTTGTGTCATATACGATATGACTGTAATCAAATACTACACCACTTATTACATAACTTCTTAATGAATGTGCTTGGCTTGACTACCAGGGAACTAAACACAAAAATAACGAGCTTGGGAATCGCACAAGTTCAAACAGCCGATTCATCAAAGCCCAGGTATGTTGCAGAAACGATCACATTACATGCCACTGTGGTAAGAACGCGTTCCGCAAATGGTGGCGCCTCAGCACGAGCCCAATCTCAGCAACAGGGGGTCGTGTCGCGGCAGTAGGCTGAGCAGACAAAGCTCGTCTCGGCATTATCTGTGCGAGATTTGGGAGCGCACAGGTGCTGGTCTTGTCTGGTACACTGCTCGCGCGTCTCGGAAGCCAACGATAACTCAACACCTAGAGTAACAGACTCGCCGGCTTTTCTCGCTGGCTGCTCACGAACTTCAACATATGGGCTGGTGGCTGACCCACGTGTACTGCTCAGAAGAGCCGCCCCCCCCCCCCGCGGTGATTTATCTGGGTGCTGCTGGTGCAATAAATGGTGTCTCCCGTGAGAATGAGTACATCTGTATTTACTCGGCTTCATGTGCGGGCTCCGTGGCCGACTGCAGACCATTTGGTTCGTTTGCCAGCATCTATGTGTGAGAAGCAACACACATGGCTTCCACCAGACTTAGAGCGGACAATCAATTAAAACAATAAAGGGTCTCAGCTAATGTCATTCTATGTAGCATGGCCCAGCATCGTCCCATGAAAGGCCAGAATGGCAACGGTTGACGGGTAAATAAATATATTAAATGATCAAGGAATTAAACCGACTCGAAGAGGGTGTTGTCAAGCACACCTGTTGTAATGCGCTGATACAGACAGATGTTATCATCCTTTAATAGATAGTGTGTCCTATATAACCGTGACAGGGTGCACTCCAACTCCAGGTGTGGCTTAGCTTCATTCCACTGCCGCCATGCAGCTTCTGCTTGTTGTCGCCCTCGCAGTGTCTGCCAGTGCGCTTGTGGAGAGGGCGGAGTGGGAGGACTTCAAGGCCACCTACGGCAAGTCTTATGCCGACCGCGACGAGGAGGCACGGCGCATGAAGGCGTACGCCGACAACAAGGCGTACGTCACCAAGCACATGGCTGAGTACGAACGGGGCCTGCACACCTTCACCGTAGCGATCAATCAGTTCGCTGACCTGAATATTGACGAGTTCAACGCCCTGTATAAGGGCCTCCAGCCGGGCAACATCACCAGGCCGGAGCGGCTGCACCAGTACTCGGGCCGCGTGCAGGCGGCGACGCTTGACTGGCGCCAGTATGGCGTCGTCACGGAGGTGAAGGACCAGGGCGCGTGCGGCTCGTGCTGGGCGTTCTCGACCACCGGCTCGCTGGAGGGTGCCTGGGCGCTGGCCGGCCACCAGCTGGTCTCTCTCAGCGAACAGCAGCTGGTCGACTGCTCGCACCTCTTCTTCAACCTTGGCTGCAAGGGCGGCCGCATGGACAACGCCTTCAGGTACATCCACGCTAAGGGCGGCATCATGGCCGAGTCGACGTACCCGTACACGGCGGTGGGTGGCAGCTGCCACGCCAACCCGGCCTACTTCGTGGCGCAGGTGAAGAGCCACCACAGCGTGCTGATCGGCTCGGAAAGTCACCTGCTGGACGCGCTGGCTGGACACGGACCCATCTCGGTGTCGATTGACGCGTCGCACCAGTCGTTCCAGTTGTACCACAGCGGCGTCTACAACGAGCCCAGCTGCTCCAGCCTGCTGCTCGACCACGGCGTGCTCGTCGTCGGCTACGGCACCGACAACGGCGTCGACTACTGGATTGTCAAGAACTCCTGGTCTGCCAACTGGGGCGAGCAAGGCTACATTAAGATGCTACGTAACCACAACAACCAGTGTGGCATCGCCACCCAGGCATGCTACCCAACCGTCTAGCTGCCCGGCTGAGCCTGCGGACTTCTAATAAAAGCGTAGCATTTGAACGTAGCATTTTACAAATCAAACCACAGTCGCAGATGATACAATCTTCGAGGAAGAAAAAAATCTGTGGATGATTAGTTTAACCATGACCGGGAACGAACATTGCCATTTATGTCACATGTTATTTCAACATTTTTGAGACTGACATATACGACCCAGTACCGGCGCGGAACTTGTGTATGTGAAATGTTATGCTTACACGCCCTTCCGCCTTCTTTTTCTACGTCCGGTTTCCTTCAGAGACCTCCTTGAGTGGGTCCGCATCAAGGCACATCCCGTATCCCTTTTCACATCAGCCTGTACAGGCATGCAATGAGTCACTGATTTTGTAATTCGTACAATGCGCAGCGACAGTGTCGGACAAACCAACGCCAGATGAGCCCTGAGAGATTCACTGCTAGATCCAGTTGGGCCCCCAACAACTATCTCTCCTCCCACGACTATTCCCTTAAGGATATTCAGCGCGCCGAACACGAGAACCAGGGTCTCTCATCACGTGGTAAACAACCGTAGCGTTCGGCTCACCCGACGCGTGCCCTCGACTTCGTGGCGACTTTAGCGATCTGCCGCCTGCGCTCGTTCCCTTGGTTCTCCCCACCGCAGCCACGGCATTCGCGCGTGGGCCGACATCGTGAAGAGGCACCGCATTCGCGGACGCAACATCACGGCACGGCGCCAGGCATGGACGCCTCCCAAATGGACCTCGGTCCGCGGAAGAACGTTGGACCCGGCTGCCGCCATCGACTCAGCCTCGTGCCCCACGCTCTTCTCTCAGTCACTCCAGGTGGCTCAAACTGCAATGTTGGTGACTGCGTGTGGCGTAGTTTTCTCTTCGCTGTCGCCATTGCAGCTGCACATGTCCCGTTTCCCCCGCCAAAAGGAGGCGCAAGATTGCGTGCGATCGCAACGCGTCGGATATGAAACACATTGCAGATGGCGCTAAACATTCCCCACACCTGTCATTGATTCGCTCACGCCACGCCCACCCGAGATTTGGGAGTGAGAGAGCTCAGGATGAGGACCGCCAGCACCGTATGCCTCTGTTTCTGGCTAACTGGAGCACCGTCATCTCTTCTCGCGTGCTTCTACCTTTCAATGTGCGTTTTTTGGCTCCCTCCTAAAACCTTTCCATATAAACCTTGGCTACCACTGCCACCTATTTGCGATATCAACATCTCCCGCTAGCCCTTCCACTCCTTTACGGCATGTTTCCATCCGTGCGTCAACTCCTCAAAACTCCTATGCGTGTCAGATATTCTCAGGATCGCTATTACCGTCGCGTCTCCGTCGTCACCGTCATTAATCGCTCCTCCACTTTCACATAATTGCGCGTTCCCATGTTATTCGGCACAATTTCTCACACTCCACGCAAATAACTTTCACCACATGACCGCATCAGCACAGATGATCGGCACTTGGAGTGACGCATAGCAATGCAATGGCAAACCCTTGCATAGGTCCCCGAGACAGTGACGATGGCCTCTCACACGCTTCACAGCACACAACGGCCACGCATTATCTGTACAGTAAACAATGCTCACAATGTACGCATAATTGACATCGCCCCAACGGATGTAATAATCCTCGATCTGACATCAACGCAGACGGTGAATACGTATCACATTTAGTACAAGTAAACACACGCCTCATTAGCTTCTGGGGATACCCTGCACGGTAAACACGACAAACATGTAAAAATTGTCCCTGAAAAGAGCAAATTGCCTGTCTTGGAGGGAGTGGTAAATGTTTTGCAACTATGTATAAAACATTACTTTTGGCATCAATTAAGACGGTTTATGCAAGGGGGCCAGCTGTAAACAGCTAGCTGTAAATAACAAATTAAAAATATTATGGTTGGAATGCAAGGATTTGGGGTCCTTGAGCCTTAGGGAGGCCCATACAATGTTGTGTGCCTCCTCCCACTCGTCCACCCCTGGAGAAATCCTGGATCCGCCCCTGGGTCCGGTATAGTATGTTTAGCGTCCACCGCAGAGCAAACCCGGCACAGCCCAACAGGAAGTAAAAGATATGCTCGCTGCGCCTGCATACTATTTGGCTTACTATCTCATCTGGTACACAAAGATCTTGTGCCACCATACCCTCCCGAATGAAGTCACATGTTTTAACGTTACATTACAAAAGCACACGATTATAAATTTACGCATTGAAGGCCAAATAAGGCGAGTTGTCCAGTCATTTGAGACAGTTGGAGGAACCCCACCTACAGAGGCCGCAGAGTTCAACCTTCTTTGGCTTGTCCTCCAGAACATACCCCAGAGAGGTCACGGTGCAAAGTGTCATGAAAGACTGTTCCCCGCGTCCCACGTCGTGGTTGCCCCGGGTTGGGACGTTTGCTTCCATCCGCATGCGCGTGACGCGGCTGTGGCACCTGGGAGCTTAGCGCGGCTGTCCACCTGGCGGCCGGCCTTGACTCCAGTGCCAGCGTAGCCGACGGCGCAGGTGGCAGCAGGTGACCGCCGCCTGGTAACAGGTTTCCGAGCCAATTACCCTGTGGAGTCAGATGCAACTGGCCCTAAACCATACGAAAGAAGCCACCCGCGTTCCTTTCCGCTTGCGCGCACTATGCGGACCGCGAGTGGCAAGCGCGTTCCGCACCGCAGCGATTGAAATTTTTTACACCGGTAACTTGTGGGCAAATTTGACAATTTCCGTGCCTTCAGTGAATGAAATAACACCGTCACAGGCATAGACCTGATTAACGATCGAGCCGTGGTTATGTCCATAGGCTCAACTATATCTACAACGTTGGCCAAAACATACTCAGGAGCGACGGACACCGCTTAACTACTACTCGATGACGCCCTGCTGCTCCCACCTGACGACCATCTCTTCTCAGAGGCGTCCATAAGCCTAATGATTTCGGAGGCGAGTCGAGACCCCAACAGCCCAACTTTACCGCATATGAGTTTTTCAAAGAATTTGGTCATTCGTTTTTCATGCACAGTTAATGTTATTTTTAGTTTCTAGCGTTTGTCTTATAGCCATTCTTTGGGCAGCGCCTTAAGTATGCAATCAAAGTAAAAGAAAAAAACACGTGGCCAGATTAGTATGGGGGAAGCGAGACCCCATGAAAGAATATGAATTAACACTCCTTCTTTTTGGACATCAAAGACAGTCTGGCTCCTGGACCAATCATGGACCGAGTTCATAAGGGGCATGAAAATTCACCCGACCTCCCTTGTAAGGAAGGCAGTGGTCGCGGGAAGCGGCTGGTTATAGCCGGAAGCCGAACCGTTTTGGCTTCCGACCTTTCCGACCTTCTTGGCTTTTGCCTTTTGGCTTTTTGTTTGACTTCCGACCATAACTAGCAGGTGGCAGGGTGGAAAGAATACGTGATCAGCACCGGAATTTTGTAATGAACGACTCAATCGTGTAAGTCAATGAATGTTTTGGTTGACAAAAATGGTAAATACGGCAGTCCATTAGCAGGTGTGGACTTAACTCTGCGGCCAAAGTTTGCGCAGCTGAGCCAATCGTCAGCGGTGTAATGGAGCCATGGGGCCATGCAAGCTGTCATCATTTGGCCGTCTAATGTAGCTGGATCGGACGTGGTGTGCGCTGCCGGCTGCGTTTTTCAGATTTTCCCTTCGGTGTAGGGCTAGGTACGTGCATCACTGGCTGGTCAATGGGTGGTAGTTGTGTAATTGAACAAAGTTCATATGACCTAATTTGTGGTTAGGCAGTTCTAAGGCTGGTGGTTAATTGCTTAGGTAATTCCAAGTTTGCAGGGCCGAGGCATTTCCAGAAACTTGGTGATGTGGTGATATCAAGTGTAATTTGTTTGCAAATTCAGCTCATGTAAAATTTTAAACTTATGTGTGCAGAAATAAGTATTTGCATCTGGTAGCATATAACAAATAATTTTACATGACTGCATTACTTAGGTATATTAGTGTATTCATGCTGAAATAAGCACAGAAGGCTGTATTCCATTTTAGGGAGGGAACTCAATTGATTCCTTCATTTCCTTAATGAAAGTATATGAATAGTTTGTGCTTAAGAAACAGGAATGCTGCATCTTGCAGTAATGTTTTCATTAGAGTTGCAAACCACATTCTGAGAATCCCAGGTATTTTATGGATCACTACATAATTCCACCATCCAAAGGTATTTCTAAAGGTAATTCCCCATCTGTTTTTCTGACAATTTCATGTGCCATATCATCTGATTTGTGTTTTCACGCTGAGTTAAGATATTTAAACCAATGTCAAAATGCTCACATACTTTTAGCTCAAATAAAGGGCTAAAACTTTATGAAAATTTCAACTGATGGCTTAAGTAACCAAATTCAGCAGTCCTGACCATGTCAGGTATTCATGTAGTGTAACATTTCTTGCTTAGAACCAGTTCCAGCAATATTATTAAAAACTCAGAGAAAGAAGACCACATAATTTTATTAAAGGTGCATATTTTATGGTGTAAGTGCATGGTTGTCTAAGCAAACCAAAAATCATCATCAAAATTATACTAACCTTTGAATAGCTGTTGGCTGACTGACTAGCTGTTGTGCAATAACCATGTTAGTTCTTGAATTTATTTTACCTCTAATACGTGGCATATGCCGGATGCAAATGGCACAAATGCTTGTGGCAAATGCAGCAATTCAGTGCATATAAGTCCATTTTTGCTCTCTCCATTCCCTGGTTATGGACTGGTTATATTATGGAAGATCCCTTGGGTGTGCTCTTAAAATAGGTATTTGTTATGGAATTCCAGCATGATTAGTACCACACCTGAGTGTCAGGTTACACTTTCCAGCCCCCTTTCTGCCATGTTGCATTTTTGGTTGCACCCCATCAGTTTCCCAACACTCCCAAGAGTTACCAAATTTTGAGTTGGTTCCTGACAAATTGCAAATAATGCAGGGGAGCTAGTTTTTCATCACACAACCATAGTCAATAAGTAACAATTGAATGCCAGAAAGGCAAAGGAAATAAGGCTTGGACCAGTATCATTGTGTTGTGGTCACTCTACTGATGACTCAAACAGATGTACTGTGCACTGGATTTTACTTCTAAATCATCATGATCCAATCACCAGGTTAAACAAAGTGATCATTAATCATCAGATAACCATAATTTATAACATAAACCATAAATCATTAATCATCATTAACCATAATATCAAATCAAACAAATCATCATTGGTTATGAAGCACAGGGATGAAAATCATGAAATAAAAAAGCTACTAAAACCAAATCACAATTTTTGCGGACCCTGAAATGTAGAAGAAGCATGGTGACATTAAGCTTTAAATTAGAGTGTTCATGGGAAGTTTTAAGACAAAATATTGGACCAAAGTTTGTTTGATACTCAAGGACCAATGACCCAAGGACCAATGGAGGGAGCAGCAAATTAAAGAGTAGTATTTATGTTGCAGGTAGCTGTTGCAGGCTGGCTAGCCCACATACCTGCCATCCACAGAACCAAAAAAGTTGGTTGCCACCACACTACCAGCCCACATGAAGCCATCTGGGCCCATTGACACCAGATGAGAATGGAAGACTAGCTGTACCAGTTACCATTTTGTCACGCTGGACTGTCCAGAGACATGTTGAGGGTGGGAGTGGTGGGCGCTGGTGCCGCTGGTCTGGTGGCGGCCCGCCTGCTCGCGGCCAGGCCCAGTGAGTTTGCTGCACCCGTGGTGTTCGAACAAGCCGGCTCCGTCGGCGGCACCTGGGTCTACACAGACTGCGTGGGCTCTGACAGACATGGGCTGCCCATTCACTCCAGCATGTACCAGAACCTCAGGTGAGTGCGTGACATTGTATGCTGCATGTCAGTCGGTTTGTTTATTCAGGCACAACATGTTTTTTGGCAGGATTCACACGCGATATATTTTACTGATGTTCCACACACTCCATGTCGTAAAATGAGAATGTTCTGTCCTTTTGTATGACATGATCACCATCAAATTGCTTGTATTTAATAACCATGCTTACAGGGTCTGGAACGTTGTTTGGAAAGTTGTTAGAAACATTGTCAGTGGTATGGAAGGTTGTTAGAAACATTGGACAGCAGACTTGCATATTTCTCCTCCAGCTCCACTTTTTATTGCTTGAACTTAATCGTTCGTAAAAAACGGACTAGGCGGTACAAAGACGTCAGAATGTTAACAATCTTTTTCGGCGTTGGTTGTGTACTGCAGCACAGCATGTGCATGCTAAACATGAAATTTGTCCTTTTCGCGGAAAATGACTATTTCATCAGCTGTCCGTTGGACCGACTAGCAGGCTTTTGATAGTACTGAGACTGGAGTGGATCATTTCATGCTCCCTTCCTTTCATGGACTCTGAGCTTCTGTTACAGTGGCGCAAAAGCGTGTCTTGTTTGCTGCTATGAAAAACGAGTGTTTATCATGCGATCCATTGTTCATTATTGTCCGCGACCGTTTTCAGAACGAATCTACCTAAAGAAGTGATGGGGTTTCCCGACTTCCCCTTCAAGTCAGACAGTTACAACGGAAAGTCCTTTATCTTCCACGAAGAAGTGCTTGACTACCTGTGTAGATACGCCGACCGATTTGATCTGGAACAGTACATCCTGGTAATCTACGATAAGATAATAGGCGGCGGGAGGAACAGGGTGTAAGATTGCTCTACGTTGTCAATGTTTAGTAAACTAAACTATCAGTTTCGACCTCGGTCGTGGATTCATACCGTAAAGAAGGCCGAGGCACCACGTGTGTGGTGGACCTTCGTCGTTGTTTGCGTCTCCACGGACCGGTATCGTTTAACGCTGATGGAAACTTTTGCAATCTAACTTGCAGTATTTGCACGTGAGGTGCGCGTATGACTCGAAAAGCAAAAAAGAAAAGCAAAAAAAAACAACCATGAAACATGTCGCTGTCGAAGTGGTGGTGATAGTGATAGCAAGTTATGATGAAGCAGGGACGTGGCGTGTTGTGCATACATTAGAACGAATTTTGGTGGCTTTTGCTTCTCGGCTGAATTCATGCTCAACAAAAGAATAACCTTTTCCCTTTGGTCGTTCAGTTAAGCGCTCGCGCTCGTTTGTGATGAGTATGTACGCATTCTTCGGTGACCTCGTTTCCTCTTGTCGGGGCAGTTTGAGACGCGCGTGGAGAATGTGACGCCCACCAGTGCCAACGACCCGGCGTCCGGATGGTCCGTGACCACGCGCGACCTCAACACCAACAAGACCAGTCACCACTTCTTCGACGCTATGATCATTTGCAACGGGTGTGGGCGCAGTGATGGCTTTTATATTGTGATGTCTCGTGATGTCTCTCTCAGTGATGTCTCGTCTCTTGTTGGCTGGCTGCGTTCTCGGGATGTGTTATCACTAGCTGTCACATGTGGGCGAAGTGTTTGATGCCTTCTGTCTGTGCCATTGTTGATTAGAGAATGTCTCGTGGAAATCGGGTGTCCACGCAACTCCCTCCTGATATTTCATTGATGCATTCTGGGTTCGAATGGGCCGCCAAGCGTGTTTGAATCCGTGTTAACGTGTGTGGTGTCGTTACTCGGTCCAACACGAATGAGCTGGTTCTCAGTTTGCGGTGTGCGGCGTGAGCCGACTATGGTCTCCGCACCCGGTCCCCTGTCAACACCGTTTCTAGAGCGTGGTCGCCAACGTTCGCCGCCCGCACGCCGGCATAGGTCAGCGGACGCGTGTGACGGCGTCCCAACGCTGACACCGCCGGCGCTCACACCGCCCCGCCCCGCCCCGCCCGCAGGCACTACTCGGTGCCAACCGTGCCTGACCTGCCCGGTATAAGACAGTTTAAGGGCGAGGTCATCCACAGCCACGACTACCGTGTGCCGGCGCCGTACACCGGTGAGTGGCCCCCGGCGGGCGCGGCCACGTGACGACGTGACGTGACGTGACGCGGTCACCCAGCCTGGTGGCACGCGCCGCGACACGTTCTACATTTGTCCCCAAGTTGCAGCGCTCTGTTGGAACAGGGTGTTTTGTTGCTGGGCGAATCGCAGTCGAACGAACACGTTACTCGTGGTTGACAGTGCATGGCAGTGGTGGCGGAGTAGCGGAGATTAGGGATAGATAAGCAGCTCTTGGTGAACTACCAACTATTGGGAGTCAGCAGCATTGCATGTAAATGATCCGATATAGAAGGGCACTTGGGGCGGTCTCTGTGGACGCTCGGGCGCCACCGTCGCCAAGCGTGATCGCCGGGCGCCGCTCGAGATGCTCCTGTGCTGAGACGGCAGCCGCGTGCCGGCCGGTGTGTCACCCCCCCCCCCCCCCCTCGGCCTGTCCAGGGAAGCGTGTGATCCTGCTGGGTGGACGAGCGTCCGGCATTGACATTTCGGTGGAGGTGGCCACCGTCGCCAAGCAGGTCAGTTGCAGCGCGCTCTGATGGCTCTCAGGCCCGGCTTGGCTCAGGTCAGCTTCGCCATTTTTCTGGTGGAACACGTTCTCGTGAGATGCCGTGGAGCGTGCGGTAGGCGCCCTGTGAAGCTGAAAAAAACTTGTAACTGGTGCCATTGTAGTGCTCGTTTGTTGCTTTGTTTCCGTGCATGTCATGAGCATGCGAACATGGTGCTGCGTGGCGTTACTCTCCCTCCCTCCCTCCCTCCCTCTCTTTCTCTCTCGGTCTCGATCTCGATCTCGGTCTCTGGCTCTTTGTCGTTGACTTTGTCTTTGTCTTTGTCTTTGTCTTTGTCTATGCATTTGTCTCTGTCTCTGCCTCTGTCTCTGTCTCTGTCTCTGTCTCTGTATCTGTCTCGTCTCTGCGGGTTTATCTGTGTCCGGCTCCTGTGTCCGCCTGACCGGCGTCACTGCGTGGCGCAGGTGTATCTGTCCCACAACCAGCCTCCGTTCGTGGCTACGCTGCCGGACAACATGCAGCAAACGGTCGGCATCGAGAGCATGGACCCCGACGGTGTCGTGCTCAAGGACAGCCGACGGCTGGCTGTCGACGCGCTGATCCTCTGCACCGGTCAGTGACCTAGGTCGGCCGACGGCTGTCTGTCGACGCACTGATCCTCTGCACCGGTCAGTGACCTAGGTCGGCCGACGGCTGGCTGTCGACGCACTGATCCTCTGCACCGGTCAGTGACCTAGGTCGGCCGACGGCTGGCTGTCGACGCACTGATCCTCTGCACCGGTCAGTGACCTAGGTCGGCCGACGGCTGGCTGTCGACGCACTGATCCTCTGCACCGGTCAGTGACCTAGGTCGGCCGATGGCTGGCTGTCGACGCGCTGATCCTCTGCACCGGTCAGTGACCTAGGACGGCCGACGGCTGCCTGTCGACGCGCTGATCCTCTGTACCGGTCAGTGACCTCCCGACCTTTCCCGGACGCATTGCTAATCCCCTGTACCGGCCGGCGGACTGCTGACCACTCCCCTGGTGGTCAATCCCCCACATTGTGGATCCCATACACCGTTCAGTAGTGCCTGCTCTCTCCCATATAGCCTCTTGAACCTCCATATTGGTCATCAGTCACTCCCTATACGCTGTTGATTCTATATACCGGCCAGCGGGCCATTGACTGTCATGTACGCTACCGATCCAAGCCTGCGCTGGTGAGTGGGCCATGACCGCCCTCGTGCACGCTGATAGTGCTCATAAGGCTCGTGGCATTGCAAGTCCCTTGTAAGGCCCTGCTGCCGTTCGGGGCGGCCTTATCGTGCCGCGGAACATGTGTTCTCGTTTTATGTGCACTCGTTTGTCGGTTGGTGAGAGCAGTGCGTTTTCTGGAATACATTCGTAGTCATTACATTCTGAATTATATTCTGTTCATGGTAGTCGTCGTGTTATGTATGGGCCCATGCAATCGCCAATGACGGCAATGACCCGGCTGCTTCACATGCTCGTGACAAATCCGCGCTAGTGAAAAACCCAGCGAAATATCAGGCAACGCGCGGCATTCGAGCCCGACCCCGTCCGTCGAAAGCTCGCCCCGCCCTCCCACTGATCCCGCGCGCTGCTACCGTGCCACATGGTCGCTGGCAGGGTACGAGTTCGAGTTTGCGTTCCTGTCGCCGGCGTGCGGGGTGGAAGTGGTGGAGCGCCAGGTGAGACCGCTCTACAAGCACGTGATCCACACCGGCTACCCGCGGCTGGCCTTCATCGGCCTGCCCACGGTCGTGCTGCCGTTCCCGCTCTTCCACAAGCAGGTCAGCACGGCCGCCGGCGGCTCAGGGCCGGCGCTGCGGAGGGGCGAGGTGGCGCTGGTGGGCCGCTGGCCGTGTATGACGTGGACAGGTAGGGTGCGCACTCCGCAGGTCTGACGGACTGGGGATCGGCTCGGGCAGGGCGCAGACAGCATCCAAGGATGCTGGGAGGCGCTTGTATAGGTGATACCCAAGCGTTACGTGAGGTGAAGGCAAAAACACATAGATGGCGGCTGGGTGACGATGAGCATTGCCATTGATTTATGCTGTATCATTACGTGCGATCACATTCTTCGGAAACACTAAATGGCAAAAGGACCTTAAACTCCTTTAGAAGGTAACGTATAAGACAAGACACGTGCGTATTAAAATGGCATTTCCATATGTGTGGCACAAGTTTTGGTGTTGCGAGAAAGGCGTATCCAACCGAAATTCCTTCTGAAGTTCGTCCTCTAAAGCTCAGATTATCTAGTTCAGGGCACTGATGTGCCGTTCTTCTCAATGTAGCGGGTTACGCTCATGGCCACAATTACTTGAAATGCGATCTGGTGGCCGGCGTCGAACTCGCCTTCGCTCTGCAGCCTGTTCGGCCGCCGTCACCTCACCCCGCCTGACGCCGCTGTCCTGCCGCCAGGTGGAGTTCGTGCTGGCGAGTCTGAGCGGCCGCCTGCGCCTGCCTTGCCGGCCAGAGATGGACGCCGACACGGCCGCCGACCTGGAGACGCGGCTCCAGCTGGGCCTGCCCGCGCGTTACGCGCACCTGCTCGGCCCGCTGCAGTGGGAGTACATGGACGTGCTGGCGAGCGCAGCCGGCGCCGAGCCCGTGCCCGAGGCCGTGCGTCAGCTCTACGATGAAGTGCACGCGCAGCGCGCGCGCGACCTGCGCGGCTACAAGGAGCGCGCCTTCCGCATCACGGGGCCCGCCACGTTCGTTGAGGTCACTGACGAGGTAATGGCCGACCTGGCCAGCAAGCTGTGACGCCCGCCGAAACGGTGGCATGCCCACCGAAGCTGGGAGGGGGTGGTGCACGAACGCCGGCCTGAGTTTGAGGCACAGGACGTGGGTGAGGAGCAATGGCTTACCACCGATCAGCTCCGATTGTCTTAGCTCAGCTCAGATCATCCTAGATCAGCTCAAATCCACTCAGCTCAGCTCAGCTCAGCTCGCTCAGCTCAGCTCAGCTGCACTCAGCTCCACCGCGTTGATGTATCGCGGCCAGCCGCTCTCGGCTCTGCGCAGCGCGGCTGCGGGGTCGGCTCAGGTGACGCGCACCTCAGTTGAGCCACGTCCTGTGTGGAGAGTGGGATGCGCCGTGTCTATGTGTGTGGGCGTGTCTCAGGGCCAGCGACGGGCCAGGGTGGCTCGGGCCGGCAAATGTCGGACTCGTGCTGTCGGACCTTATTCCGTTCAATGAGTAGGTATTCCACTTGTTAGAGGAGCCTAGGTCTCCGTGCTTTCGTGCGGCGGTCAGTTGTCGCGTCTGTCCTTCATGCCTAGTACAGATCCTTGTGCCAACGCTGTAGCTAGTCTTCTCCGGAGGGGGTCTTTATCTAATGTTTGTCGGCGACATTTGGAGAGATAGGTGACGTCATCTGCTGAGGTTCACCGCCAGCTGATAGTCAAGCCGATCATTGGGTTTGTGTTGATGCGCTGCCTTCATGTTATGTAAAGGCTATTTCATTGCTAATTGGGTCGAGCAATGGTATAATGACGTGCAATGATCCATCAGGTTATACTGGTAGTCATGGAGGTGGTCATTCAGGTGGAAATGGCTTCCCGGCGGGTGTGGAGAGACGTATCGGATGATTTGAGGTTTCTGCCGATGGTGATCATCACAAACATCTTGTGGAGGTGATCCGAAGTTTGCCACGCGTACCTGGCTCTGTGGCTTGTGCCTGTGTGGACTGATCGTGGCCGAAGTGGCGCGCTTTTGCGCAGTACTACCTTCATGATGCATATGGGTGTAACCCAAGCGCGGAGTGTGGGCGTGATTGCTGCAGGATTTGTGATTTTTGCGTGATATGTGTGGCTGTTACTGGACACGTTTCTAGTGATGGATGTTAAAAGATACCATTGCATCGTCATGCGGCCATTGCGTTTGACAGACAGTATGTGTATTGCCTGACTGCGTACGGTTTGGATGCGATCCAGTTCCACTCGCTGACCGGCCGTTGGGGTTTTACACGTGCGGTTCGGGCTTCATTGACTAAAGGGCGGCGGCACTATGAAGATTTTGGGCATGCATTAAGTGTTGCAACGTGTAGCAGGTCATAGTCATATCGGGATGGATGAAGCTGTGGTGCGGAGCGTAACGCTCCAGATCATGTAGCTAGAGGCGTACCTGACACAGTGAAGAGAACTACTTGGTCTTATCGCTCCGGATATTGGCTCGTTATTTCAGGTGGCTCGCTTAATTACCTAAAATGCAGCCTTGTCTGGATCGTCCTTTTGCACTTGCACACTTGTTGCCGAGGCGAATGGGGTCAAATACAGGCTGGACTATCCACCTGTTGTTTTTTTTTGGGGGGGGGGACGATTTGCGAGAAGCATGCATGCATCAGGTTCTAGTGTGCCGCGACATTGCACACTCGAGTGAGAGTTGAGCAGGTGACCATTACGTCAAATGTGAATTGGATCAATGTCACCACCACGAAATATTTCATCGTTTGGCTTAGTGCGGAGAACAACGCGTACATGCGCGTGCAAATTGTGCAGGGTCTTCTAATCACATCGATGTTGTGCACCCGAATGTTTTTATTAATCTCTGTTTCCATTGTAAGTTGTTCAGTACATTAGCGAGGAACATAAGTCATGCAGATAAGGCAGTAGTATTAGCCTTATTCCTCGGAAAAATCAGGAGAATAGAGAAATAGTTAGGTTGATATTTCGGCAACATGCCTTTCTCGAAACAATAGCAGAAGTGAATTCAAAATTGCCTGCCGATGATCTTACTCGATTTTCAGGTTTTTTAAAGAGCAAGCCACAGTTTTTACCGGACACCAACATCCAGGGATTGATGTTGAGGGATTGCCAGCCATTGTCAAAATACAGTGCCTATAAGAATTAGAATGACCGGACGTACGTGTGCTTGCAAACGAATTCAAGCAAGTAGGCATCACGCATCACGCTTCATTCGAACATGCAAGCGAGCTAAAGTAAACAGGCATCACATGGCGCGCACTAATTATGCATGCAAACGATTTCAATTGAACAGGCATCGCACATCACGCGACAGGCATCACTTACACATGTAAACGATTTTAGGCTAGCCCACATCACACATAGAGTGGGTTTCGCGAAAGGATGTTGCCGCAATATGCCTGTCGTGTGGATCTATTCTTGTAAAAAGTCGGCGACCAAATTTTAACATACAGGGCTTGTCATGGCCAATTATGCGAACGTGATGAACATCAGTGCCTCTATGTGTGATGTGTGCTAGCTTAAAATCGCTTGCATGTGTAAGTGATGCCTGTCCCGTGATATGCGATGGCTGTTCGATTGAAATCATTTGCATGCATAATCGGTGCGCGATGTGTGATGCCTGTTTACTTCAGCTCGCTTGCATGCTCGAATGAAGCGTGATGCGTGATGCCTATTTACTTGAATTCGTTTGCATGTACACGTATGTCCGGGCATTCTAATTCTTAGACAGGCACTATCTTGGTAATGGCTGGCAATCGCTCTTTGTTTAATCCCCTGGATGTTGGTGTCCGGTAAAAACTGTGGCTTGCTCTTTAAAAAACCGGAAAGATCGAGTAGGATCATCGGCAGGCAATTTTGAATTCACTTCTGCTATTGGTTCGAGAAAGGCATGTTGCCAAAATATCAACCTAACTATATCTCTATTCTCCTGGTTTTTCTGAGGAATAAGGCTACTACGCTGTCTTATCTGTTTCCATTGCTTTAGGCGTTTACGCCGCTCAGCCAGCGGTATTGTCTCTTGAAGATCGCGTTTTGCTCCGCCAGTGCATGGTGACTGATGCTGACGCCCGTTTAGCATTTCCACAAAAGCCGCGTTTTTGTGGAAGAAGGTTTGCCGTGTGACATTACTGTCAACTTTAAGTATTGGTAGCAAAAGCAATGTCGTAACAATCCCGTCGGAAAGGGGTTTCGTCGAAGCACTAATATGGAACCTTCATTTTCCCGACGAATGGATCCACTTTCGCTTACGCTGTATCCCGATGGGATCCTTGAGATCATGGACACAACACGATAATTTTCCGGAAGATGTCCACACGAAGCGAACTCTCTTCCTCTAAGCGTGCTTTTAACACGCGCCCGGACGGCCGGCTAGATACCCTTCGCTCGGGTTTGGGGGGGTCAATTTGACCCCCCTCCTGAAATCTCGGGAACTAAGAAATCTAGAAACACCAAATTTACAGGGTGTATTGATCTGTACGTGAACTCACTTAGGTCAAAGTTTCAGGTCCCTATGTCATGACCTTTGGGTCAAAAAGGGTCAAACAAGGTCAAGTTCCAGGTTGGTCTCCAAAATGTCCCCAGAACGTAGATAACCGTTTCTAAGCAACAGTTCACATTCTCACTTAACGTTAGTGACCTAGTTTGACCTTTCGAAGGTAAAGGTGACCAAAATCATACAAGATTGCTTTGAGTTTTGCCTTTGATTAAGCGACAAAGATTACGCTGGGCAGTATGTTCCTAAAACAAAATGTTGACCTAGGTCATTTTAGGTCATTGACCTATTCTGACCTCTAACAAGTCCATGGAAGATGTATAATGCGATTCCTGCTATCAATAAGCTCCAAATGAGCACCAAAAGCTATCCCATACAGCAAGCTCTAGAGAAATAAAACAGGTTGGTTTTGACCTTGGTGCGGCCTTCATATCTGACCTTAAGTCAATGCAATTTGCTCATTCAACTGTTGTGTTGCCTAAGAAAGCATCTCAGATATGTACGGCTTCGTCTAACACTCCGTTGTTGGATCAGATTGAAGGATTCCATAGAAATTGCCTTCGCTGAAACCATGTCTTGACTTTGATCTGCCATGGGTCAGCAACCTTACAAGGTACATCTACATTTTTTATGCCAAACGATCCGCTATTCAATTGTCTACAGCTAAGCAAAATTTGGCGAGGCTACGCCGCGCTGTTCCGAAACCATTCTGGTAAAACCTTCGGGGAGGTCAATTTGACCCCACCCGAGCGCGTGTTAAACCTCCCAGGTACGCACGGGACGTTCGTGCAATCCAGTGGTGCTTTGTCAGGTTTGTTATTGCCGTGCCCATCTCCTCTATAATTTCCCAAGCATTTTGGCGAAGTGTTCTTAATGGCATGCGGCGTATATGGACCCACTGTTTGTACGCCACTTCGTCGATGGTGCCGGTCCTTTTTGGTCCGAATTACGCCACATGTGCTGAGCTCGTCAACGGCTGGTCGTAATCCGATGCTATTATGGCGGAATCTCCAGACGGAGGAAATCTCCCGGCAGCAGGTTTCTCGCGACATTGGCAACAATACCATACAGCTGTAGCAGGCCGCGCAGACTTTGCTCCGGGTGAATCTTGAATAGTCTGCACATCTTCGCGAGCGTGTGATGTAGACACTAGGTGGTTTTAGGTTTTGAGCAGGGCACGGTTGTGAACTGCACCGAACGACCTTCAAAATGTCTGTTTCAGCTCAAAACCCCAAATAAATGTGGAACTTTCCGTTAAACACCTAGCGGCCGGGTCCATTTCGGCCTGAACCTTGGGGCTCATTTGTTAAAAAGGTACAATGTCGGACCGGTGACTTTCATTGGTCGGAGACTTAAATAATGAGCGGTTTGCAATGTTTAACAGAGAGCACACGTCGGCAAGGGCCACTCCAGGAACATTTCCGCTGAACAGGAGCGGGACGGGGCGCCGAACGTCAGGGACGGCCTCCTGCATTGATCGGGGCCCATATGGCGATTAAAAGAGATCTCAGGACTTGCGATATAGGTCCATAACGAAACAATGGAAGGTGGATTATTTCTTTTCAGTCATCGCCCTGAGGTCAATGTCGTAGTCTCAAAAAATTGAAGCGCTCAGCCCCCACCCTTCCCCCACCACTTGCCGCGTCCATGTACGTACAATACAAGTGTGCATCTTGCCCGATGGCTTGAGACACAAGTCCAGAGCCACATGCCTCCTAGACCTGTCACGCGGACGTCCGAGCTGT